TCTAAATAGTTTAAAGAATAAACATTATTATTACTTTAGTTTAATTATAATTATTATGTTTCTTAGTCTTTTTAATTTTAATACGAAAATGTATTATTATTATTTTTTAATTACTAATTAAGTAAACTTTGCATTTCTTCTTTAATTTTTTTTAAAAAATCAGGGGGAGTTAATAATTGTTCTAAATTTTTGGAATCTACCTTATTTTATTAATATTCAGTTAAATCATTCTTATTTTTTAAATCAATATTAATTTATTTATTCGATAATGAGTTTTAAGTATAAAAAGCTTTATTTGTAAGACTTTTATTTACTATTTTAAAGTCTTGGATATGGTTTAATTAATTAATATTATTTTCTTAATTATCAGTGTAGTTTTTAAACATAAATTATTATTTTTGTACATAATCTGATACTTAAAATTTTGCAAAATCATTATCAATTAATTCGTTAAAATCATAATTTTCATAAGTTTTTTTTAATTAAATTAATAATTAGATTTAGTTTCACTAGAATTTTATTATTATTTGTTAATAGATTCAAAATATCTGAATTAACTTTAATCATATTAACTAACTTAATCTTTGTTTTTAAAAGTATTATTAAACTATGATTATATTTGTGTTTATTCATTTTATTTTTATTATAAGCTAATATTTTATTATTATAAAATATTACCGATTTAAACTACTTCATTAACATTATAATCTTATTAATATTTTTGTAATGTAAAAGGTATTTTTTCTTAATTATCTTCAAGATCAGATTTAAAGCTTATTTCTAATTATTATTACTATTATTATTATTATTATTATTATTATTAATTTTATAAATTATTGTATAAATCAAATACAGTATTATTTTAATAAATTTGGTCTTCATGGTTTTTATCTGTTACCATTGATGTTTCTAATTGGTTTAATTAATTATTATTATCATTTAATTATTCTCTGCTTTTATTTTAGTGAAAAGAAGAATTATTCATATGTCCAAATTCTTAGTTTTCATTATACTACTATTATATTTAATGTGTAAAACTATCTTCATCTTAGAAAATATTTTACTTATCTAAAATTTATATGTTATTTTATTTTATATTTTAATAATATATTTTTTAACTGTTTTTTATTTAATTATTTTATAAGTTATTATAATCCTCTAATTTCTATTAATTTTTTATATATATTCTTATTAACTAGTTTCGCTATTATTATAGCATCTGAATTCAGGAGATTTTCTACTATTCTAAGCAAAAGTACAATTATATAAATCTTCAGTTTCTTAATGATATTAGTATTAATTATTTATTGTATTTAAAATTTCATGTTTTTAATCAACTTAATTATTATACTAAAATTTATTATAATATTATTAATTATTTTCATCTTAATATTAATTTAAATTTTAATTATTTTCTTACTGATTATTATAATATGAACCCATTAAGTTATTAATATTATTAATATAATTATTATTATTATTATTATTATTATTATTATTAGTATTATTATTATTATTATTATTATTATTTTATTAATATTTTTATTATTATTATTATTATAATTATAATTATATATTTAATTATTATATGTACTTTATATTTAGTTTTAATTATTTTTTATTAATTCATTTTTTTTAAAAACTTATTTTGATTATTTAATAAATTATTTAAACTATTATATTTTCCAAGATTTGAACTTTTTATATTTTTCACATATTATTTTTGATTATTTTTATTTTAATTATTATTTTAACTATTATTATTCTCTTATTAATCAATATAATTTTATCTTATGTTTAATTTACTATTTTTATTTTGTAGAGTATATATTTATTTGTTTCTTGTTGAATTTAATACTTTATTATTCAAATAATTATAATTATTGTTTTTAATACATTTATAATAAGGATTATTTATTTTATTTTCAAGATAGCTTATATTATTTATAGAATAACTATTATTATTGCTATTTACATAAGAAGTATTATTATTATTATTTTAACTTATATAACTATTGTTACTTAAATTTCTACTACTATTATTATTTATATTTTTATTAATTATTTTTCTATTGGTTGTTTCTTTGTTTTATAATTAATTTATATAAAAGTTTTTTTCAAAATTACTATTTTTATTTGAATTATTATTATTTTTTAAATAAGTTGAATTAGATCTTAGTATTCTCTGATTTTATGATTTTGATTAATCTAAATTACTTATATTATTAAAATAATTAGACAATTAAGATAAAGTTCTTTTATGTTACATATATTCTAGTTAAGCATTATATTAAATATGATTAATATTTTAATTTATATATTTCTCTTTTGATTTATTTGGATATTAATTTATATTTAAATATTATTTAGTTTCTATTTTTTTTGTTTCAACTTTTGTAAACGTTTCCTTAAATTTAATTGTAATATTTACATATCTTTTTAATATTTTTTTTATTTAAAAAATAAAAGTTAAGTTAAATGAAATACTATTATTATATATATCTTCTTTAATTTATTTTTTAACTTTTATTATTTTTACTTGTATTTTTTATTTTATTTTAACCTAAAATATATATAGTTTCTTCATCTTACTATCTTATTAAATTTCTTAAAATTAATCTATCATCTACACATATTTCTTTTTTTAAAAAAAAATTAAATAATAAAATAATATATAATAATATTATATAATACATGTGCATTTATCTAAAAGAGTAGTTAATTCTAAGTTTAAATTCTTTATATATGATGAGTTTTATTTAAAATTCATAGAATTATCTCTATATCTTAACATTTAAATAATTTATTAAATATTAATTAATAATAAAAAAAAAATTTAAATTATTTAAAATAATATTGTTATTTTTTTTATTTATAATTTGAAAAATAAATAAGAATTACTAATAATAACTATTAAATATTAATGAATATTTTTATATAATTTGTTCATAATTAAAATTTTATTATTTATTAATTTCTTCAGTTATTACAAAATATTAATATTTAAAATATAAAAAAAAAGTTAATATATTAAATAATTTAATTAAAATTTTTAATTATAAATAATTTTAATATATATAATTTCATTTATATTTTAGATTAAAAAAATAATTCTTAAAAAATATAAAAAATAATGTAAGCTATAATTTTTTACTTAAAAAAAATATATATATATATATATATATATGTAAAATATATATATATATAATATATATATATTTATTTATATTTCTATATTTATATATATTTAAATATTTAATAATTAACAAAGTTAAATTATTTTTATTTATAATAAAGTTATTCCAAACAAAAAATATAAAAATGTTATATAATTAAATAATTCAAAGTATATACGAATAAAAAAAAAACTTAAATGAAATTCAAAATAATATTGAACCAAAATAATTCTAACAATTAATAAGCATAAACACTTTTATAGAATAAGGATTTATCAAATATAATTAATCTTGCATTTAATATGAATATTTTATAAATTTTATAAATATTGATTAAAAATCTCAATTATCATTAAAAGACTAAATTATAAATGAAATATAAAATGCATTTTAAAATTAATAAAAACTAATTAATTAAATAAATGATATTTAATTATAATTATAAGAATAATAATAGCATATTAAATATCAACAATATAGTCCTAGAAGTAAAACAATTACATAAAGTATTAAAGAAAATACAGAAGTTAGTTCTACTGAATCATATTAGAATAATATTATGAGTATTTTACATTAAAATAAAAGTGAAATCGATAATTTATTGAAAAAAATTAAAGTGTTACAAATGTTAGTATTAATAATTTTAATTATGTAAAATAAATTATATAAAGGATAAATGTTTGCTTAAATCATCTTTATTAAAATTAATAAAATAATTTTCTTTTTTAATAAATATAAGGAGAGTTTTAAGAATTAATAACTACTATTTTAGGCAAATAAGTAAATTAAATTTAAGATTAAGATATTAGATGGAAAAATTTAATAGAAAATATTCAATAAAATAATAATTAAAAAATAAATAATCTTTAAGCTGAAAATGAAATGATAAAAAATGAAAAAATAAATTAAGATATAGAAATGTAAACATAAGTATAATTAATAAAAGAATAAAAAAATATTATAAATAATAAAGAAAAATAAACTTAATTAATAGAAAATGAGTTTTAATAAATATAAAGCCTAGTAAAATAATAATAGTAGGAAATTATATATATAAAAAAGGAAAATTTAAATAATTTAAATTTATTTTAAGATTGTTAAAATAAAATTTAACAAGAAAATGAAGAATTTAGATTAAATAATAAGCATTTATAAAAACAAAATAAACAATATTAATAATAAATTGAAGAAACAAAAACAGAAAATGAGAATTTATAATAAAAAATATAAAAAAATGAAATTAATTTATAATAAAATTAAAAAATTATTAGTAATTTAAATTTAGAATTAGAAAAATAAAACGAATAATTAAAAAGTAATTAATATTCTATTAATTAAATGAAGAAATAAATAGAGACTCTAAAAAATTAAAATAATAAAAAAAAGCAAATATTTATCAAAACTATTAAGGAAAATGAATAAGATTTTATTAATTTAAAAGAATAATTTATTTAAATGTATGAAAGATATTAAGAAATATATGAATAACTAAAATAATATCAAAAACAATAAAATGTTTTGGAAAAACAATTATAAATAGAAAAAAATGAAGTCAATTTTTTAAAAATAAAATCTTAATAATATTTGTGAAAAAAAAAAAAAAATCTAATAAATAAAAAAATATTTTTTTTAAAAAATAATAATAATAAATAATAATTCTTTAAATATAAAAAAATATATTTATTTTAGATTTATTTTATTTTGTTAATTTTTTTTTTTTTATTTTAGTTTTTTTTTTTTTTTGAAAAAAAAAAATATATATATATATATTTTTTTAATTATATTTATTTTTATGTACTATATTATTTTTATTTATTAGGTTAATCATTTAACTTTTTTATCTTATTTTAAAATTATATTTTTTCTGATATTATAACTACCAGGCCCTGGTACTATACAAAAATATAATATTATTTTATTTAATTAAATATATTAAAAGAATTTAATTACCTATAAATTTAGATCCGATTGTAAACATTCTTTATTCATTTGAAAACTTCCCTCCGAAAGTTGATTTGAATTTTTAAGCAAATTAATGTCCTTATTATTTTATATATTGTTCATATTAGCCTGGTCCGGGAATTTCATTTACTAAAAAAAATGTATATAAAAATATATAAATAAAAATTTATATAATATATTAATTTATAAATTAAAAATATATATATAATTATATATAAGTAAATATTAATAAAAATAATTTTATATATTAATATAATATAATTTTTATATATATTTTTATTTATTATAAATATATATTAAATTTATCTATATATTTTTTTTATCGAAATATTAATATATAATTATAATTTAAAACTTTATTAATTTTATATAAAAAAATTAATTAAAATTAATCCATAAAAAAATTATTAAACATTTATTAATATGATATTAATCATATCTTGATTTTAATGGAGGTGAAATAACTGATGTCTTGCTTCCTTAAAATTTCGAAACAAAATAATTTCCAAATTTATTTAATCCTTTAACTTCATATGTACCTGGTCCAGGTATCAGTTTATTCATTCTTTGTTAATCTTTTATTAATTTTTTTTAATAAAAATAAATAATACTTTTAATTTTTTTTTATTTATATATAATAAATATCAAATGAATAAATATGTCAATATAATATATATTTTTGAATATGTTTACATTTATCGTACAGCTTTTATCCAAAAGTATAATAAAATTGTCTGCTATTTTAAAAATCATCAAGATCGTATTATCCAGGTCCTGGTGTTTTAAAATAATTTTGTGTAGAATATCCATTATTTTTTATTTCCTGTTTTTTTGTTTTGTTTTATTATATATAAAAAATGGAAGATATAAGTAATTTGATTTTAATATTTTTATTTTTAACTTAACGTCCTAAACTAAATGTAAATCCTTTCTATTTAGATCTTTCTACTTCTGGAGCAATTATTAAGGCACTTTATTATGATTAATATTTTAATGATGCACTTTTATATATGTTTTTGTTTAAAATTTAATGCAAATTTTTTAATTCTTCATCGTTTCTAATACTTAAATCATTCATTTTTATCTGTTAAATATGTATTTATTATATATTTTATTTACAAAAATGTTTTTTATAAAAATATAAATTAAGTTTACTAATTTATAATAATTAATTAAAAATAAAAAAACACATATAATAATTTTTTTCTATATATAAAAATAAAAACAAAAAACTATAAACATTATTCACATAAATATTTTTATAATTTTTTTTTTTTTTATAAAATTTCATAAAAAAAATATGTAAATAGAAGTTTAAGAAGAAATAGATGATTGGCAACCCTCAAAACCATCAAAAGAAAAGTCAATATTAAACAAATTAAAAGTAAATTTCACGAACAAAGAAATAAAAGAATAATAAAAGGATTTCAAAAATGTAGTTTTTGATAATTCAAGTTAAGAAGAAGAGGAAGATGTAGAAAATGAAGTTGAAAATAACAAATATAAAGAAATGATAAAGTAAATTAAGAGTGAAGAGTAATTCTTTAATCCTATATAGGATGAATAAGATGAATAATGGGTTTAAAAATCCTTAAATAAATAAAATACTATCTTAAGTTGTCCAAAATGTTTTACTTAATTATGTTATGATTGTTAAAGGCATGAGATTTATGAGAATTAATATAGAGCTTTGATTGTAAAAAATGTAAAAATAAATACTTCAAAAATAATAAAAAATAAAGAATAAGATAAATAGGAAAATATTAAAGTTTTTAATGAAAATACTGACTTAAGTAATGAAGATTTAAATAATTTAAAAAAATAATTAGACAATTTTTAAGAAACTTTTGCAATTCATTTTATTGCTGAATGCAGTTAATGCAATACAGAAGTTGCAGCTTACGATGTTAATTAAAAGGTTTTTCATTTTTATTAGGTTTTACCTAGTTTAGGATGATTAAAATTAATTTTAAAAAATTATAAATATAAGTATTAATGATAATATTTATAAAAGTAAATTAAAGAAAAACAAAATTATTTTATAAAATATAAATTAAAATATGTATAAATTAAGAATTAAGATTATGTTTGTAAAGCATATGCAAAAAATAAAAGAAAATATTATATATAAATAAATATATAAATATATAAATATATTTATATATATATTTTTATATTTATATTTATATTATTCATAATTTATAATTCATAATTCGTCTTCAATTTCTTCTTCCTCTTCCTCTTCAATTATTATATCCTCTTTTTTAATTTTATATTTTAGTTTTTTTTATTTTTAAAATATATTACATTACTATTCATAAAATTATTCATATATAGCTTTTAATAATGGCCCATCATAATTTTCATCAAAAATTAATTCAAATTTATTATTTGCCAATAATGCATCTTAAATATAACTTTTTTTTCCTTATTGCCAATATTGAGCAGATGGAAAGCTAAAAATAGGATCAATAGCAATTCTTTTTTTATTATTTTTAATAAAAAAAAAGTATAATATAAATAAAAAACCTAAATGCATTTTCTATCATTGCAGGTATTATTCTTACTAGCAAAGGAGATGCTAATTCTAAACAAGGGTTCGTATTTACTTCTATTAACCAAGTTTTGAAATCTTAATCTATCATAAAATCTAATCCGAAAACCTATATTTTTTTATTTATTTTTGCTAAGTATTTATATAAAAAAATTTTTGACTTCAAAGGATATTTCTCTTCTTAATTAATCCATTTTTAAAAAAGTTGCTTTTACACAATCTAAAGCTAATTACTTTTTTATTTTTAATTTAAAAATAAACATATTATTATTATACTTTCATTCTTGGATAAACAGTTTACTAAAAATCTAATTTTTAATCAGGTTAAGTTTAATTTAAATATCTTTAAAGTTCATTATATGATAATTTATTTCCTGCTTCATATTTTCCATAATCTTCGCATTTTTTTTAAACTGCATCGTTTGTTAAATGTATCATCTTTTATGAATAAATATTTATAATATATATTTAAATAAAATACTTTATTATTTAAATTTTAGCAATTAAATTCTTTACAACTTGTTCTTATATAACCGTCTTAATACCAGTAAGCTTTCATTTTTCCTTTTATAACAGTAATTAATAAATAACATCTAATATCAAATTTTCTCTTTTAAAATAATAAAAAACATATTTAAAAATTAAATAAATTAAACTTTGCAATAAAGAAAAGGATTTTCTATGTATTTTTATATTATGTATGTTCTTTGTTTATCATTTTAAACTTTATTCTTTATTATTATAAAAAATAAAAATATATTATAATTTTTTTATTTTTTTTTAAATAAAATAATACATCTTTAGATAAAAACTAACTTATTTATTCTAATTCATTTAAAACTACAATTCCTGTTCCTCTATTAGTGATTTCTCCAGGTTTAATAATCCAAATATTTTTTTATTTTTTAACTTTATTGCCTTGTAATTACATTTACTTAATTTATTCTTATTTTTATTTAAAAAATTCTACAAATTTTGCATACTCAGTATCATTTACACCTTCTTTTATATGAAAAGTTAAAGGAATGTTATCAAAAGGATTTTATTTTATAGAAGTATAATAATTTTTTAGATTATAAAAAAGAGCTTTTTTATTTGATAAATTCCAGTTATTTTCTAAATGATTATGCATTTTATATTGATAAGGATCTTCTATTATTTAAAAGTTTTTCTTTAACAATTTAAATTAAGAAGAATTTTATATTTATAAAAAATTTTTTAGGTTTTTTTGCTTTTTTTTTAAAGTTTTATATTCTTATATATGTAATAGCCGTTTTATTTATTATTTATATGAATTTTATGATTTAATTTTATTTTAAAAATGAGAATTAGATAAACTGATTTATTAATTATCCTAATAAAATAATGAGATATATATATATATATATATATATATATAATATTTATATAATCATTAATTTTACTTATGTATTTATTTTTTATTCTGTAAATGTAGTATTAAGAGAATTTTATTTAAAAAGTTTATGTGTAGGAGTTTTTTCAGTAGCTTCTGTATCATCACTTAAATAAATAGCATTATTATTATTAATATTATTATCTGAATTTTAGTCTTATTTAAATAAAAAAATATATTTAAAAGTATTTATATAATACCTATAGAACTAGAATCTTCATATTCTTAGTCTTTTTTAGTATTTTCTTCTGTATTAGTTTTTTCTTAAACATAAGGTTTTAATAAATTAATAAATGAAAGATTTCTAATTTAAGTCCAAACAATTTAACACTGTTCAATTTATTCGATATTTTAAACTAATTAAAGCCACCATCTATTCTTAACACTTTATTTAATTAAAAATGAATTATTTCCTTTTCCAACATATATTTTAAATTGAGGTTTTTAAGGTTAGATTACTTATATATTATTTGAAAAATTAATTAGATTTGTAAATTCTTGATATTGACTTATTTTTACTAGTTCTTTCTTTTATATTTCAATTATTTTTTCAGAAATTTACTTTATGTTTTATTAAAAAATATTCGGTTTTTTTTATTTCTTTTATTATATTATTGGAGTATTATCTAATTTTTCTTATATAAATTATACTTTTTATTAATTTTATTCTATTTTTGATTAGGCTTGATATTATACTAAATCCTATTTTATATATATATTTTCAGGCTTTTATTGAATATTTTCAAGTTTAGATTAATGATTATTTTCTTATTATATTAAATTTTTTTTCTGTTTATATTATTAAAATTAATTTTATTAAGAGTCTTTCAAATTAGTTTTTTAATTGAGAGTTAATTTAACTATATTTTCATTTAAAATCATATTTAATTAATCCATATTTGTATTGTTTTTTTTTGAAACATTTTAAGCTGAGTTTAAGTATTTTAATATCTATCTATTTGTTATTTTTTCTTACAAATTTATAGTGTTTTCGTAATTATTTTTAATTAAAAATTTTTAATTTTCTATATTTTCATCTTCTTCTGTTTTTTAATTTTTTAAATTATTTTCATTTTCTTATTCTTAATTTAATAATTTTTTTTTTTTTTTTTTTTTTTTTTTTTTTTTACATCTTTTTAAACTTAAACTTTGTTTTCTTTTTTATATTTATTAAATTTCTTTTATGTTTTTATTTTAATAAAGTAAAAACTTTAATTGTTTGTTATTTAGTTTTTTATTTTATTTTAACTTTTGAAAACTTTAAACCTCGTTAATGATGTCTATTTATTAATTTTTTATTTTTAATTATAAGTTTTTCTTTATTGAACTATTAGCTTTTAATCTTCTATTAATTAAATTTCATCATAATCTTCTTAAGGTTCTTATTTTAAAATGTTATATGTTTCTATTACTTTGTTTTTGCTATCAATATCGAATTTTATACTATTTAATTATTAAGTTTATTTTAAAGTTAAACATATTAATTTTTCATTATTTTAAATTTTCGGAAATTTTACTATTTTTTTTTAAACAAAAAAAATTTTAAATTATATCTATTAAAATTAATATGGTAATTTAAAATAAACATATTATAAATAAGATAAAAATTAAATATATATAATATTAAAAAATAACTTGACTATATGGATGAATTTTATAGATTATTATCATTATATTCACATATTTAATTTTTACAATTTTTACGAAAAAATTTCTTTTTCTTTTTCGAATTTATTAATTCATTCTTAAAATTGAAAAAATAAAATAATAAAATAATTGGAATATATATATATATATTAAATTATATATATTTTACATTTAATCCAGAAAAACCATTAAATAAAACTATTTTTATTTTATTTATTTTGTTAAAATTAAATTAAATATTTACTTTTATTTGTATTATCACTATACATTTAATTAAAATTTTTTACTATTAAGTCATCAAAATTATTTTAAACCTCATTTTGTTTGTTTTAATTATATCTCCTATTATTAAATAAAAATAAATAGATAAAGAAACAAACAAAATAATAATAATAATAATAATATAATATTTTAATATCCTAATGATTATTTTTTAATTTATTAAATTTTATATTTTTATTAAACATATTATTATTAGAATAACCAATGTCTAAAAAATTCATTTCTATTATAATATAGTAAATTTGTTAATTTTATTTTATTTAATATTTATTAAAATTATAAATATTTATATGTAAAATAATTAAATCATGCATTTAAATAAAAAATTTTATTATTTGAAAAAAAAAAAAAAAATTGAGCATATATATCTATTTATATTAATAAAAATAAAATTATAATTGTATTTGAATAAAAAATATAAATATGTATATTTATAAAATATGAATTCTTTTATTAAAAAAAAAAAAAAACTTAGCTTATTAAATATATTTTGTTTTGTTATAAATATAAAAAAGAAAATTATATAAATCAAAATTATCCATATAATTTTAAGTTTCCTTCATTTTCAACTTTATCGTCACCTAAATAAGCTAATATATATTAATTAGGATTCCATTATAAGTTATTCTAAGGCTACTCTTTTTCAATTGTAGAAGCGACTGTATTTTATTAGCAATTATAAATAAAAATATTTTTATCATTAGACAAAGAAGCCAAATATTAACCATCAAATGAAAAAGATAATTTTTTAATTGCTGAATCAGATTGGGCATAAGTTTAAATCATTGTAATTTCGTCTAAATCCCAAAGTCCAATTAAAGTATCTGAAGATCCAGTAGCAAAATATTTACCTTTCGGATCAATCGCAAGAGAAAGAATTTTCATACTTTTTTATTTTTTTTTAAAAAAAAAATTACAAAAATTAACCTATGACATTCTGATTAAATATTATCAAGTAAATCATTAGTATTTTTAGTAAAATTTTTGCCATCTTAAACTCTAATAGTACCAGCTCCGTTCCTTAAAATATTAAAATTTAATAGAAATAAATAAAAAAATAAATTCTAATATACATTTAAATTACAAAGAACCAGCAATTATTATGATTGATCCTGTAGGATCCCATTGTAATTCATTGATATCCATTTCAAAAGCTTATTAATATATTATATCATCTTTTCTAACATCATAATATTATAATTTATTATCTCTATTACCTATATAATAGATATAAATATATATATATATATTTATATAAATATATATATATATATTTATAAATAAAAATATATTATTTTATTTTATAAATAAAATATATTTTATTATTTATATTTTTTACATAAAGCAATTATATTTCCATCTTAAGAATAACACACATTTAGATTTTCCGATTATATATTGTTAATTTTTTTTACGTTTTTATCTCTTATATCCCAAATGTATAAATATGGTTGTTTAGTTATGTATGTTAATACTTCTGGATTTTATGGATGCCATTATAGGTTGTCTATTGTAGATGCGTCATGTCCTTTTTGCTCATTTTTTTCAATATCAAAATTAAAATTTGTTCTATCTAATTTAAATAATCTTATTTTATTTTGGGCTGTTGCTATTAATTATCCTGTAGAATTCCAGCCTATACATTGTTCGCTTTTCCTGTATGTGTTTTGGACTGATTTGTTTTTAAATTATTAGAAAAATTGGTCTGGTTTAGTATTTTACTACTATTGTTTATCTTCTGAGTATTACATTTATGTATTTATTTGTATTTTTTGTCTATATTATTCTAAGAATTTTTATGATTTTCAAGTTTATTTATTTTTACTTTTTTTTATATTAAAAATCTTTTTTTTTGTTATAAAACTAATTTATTTACTAATGTTCTTATTAATAAAAAAACATATATTTAAGATATTTTTAATTTATATATTTTTTTAAAGTTTAATTTAATATTACTTATTCCTAAAAATTAAAGAGAAAATATTTACTATTATTATTTATAATAATGAAATCTATTAATTTTTTATTATTATTTTTTTAAAAAATTAATATATAAATATTATTAATAACATTTTTTTTTTTTTAAAAAAAAAAAAAAAATTTAAAAAAAAAAAAACAATCAAAAATGAAACGAATATCTTAAAATTAAGTTTCAAATGATTAATTAAATGATATCTTATTTGATAAACACAAAGACTAATAAGAATTTTACCAAGAAGGAGAGGAAGATTTAGAACAAGAAAACGATTATATGGATGAAATATTTGATGTTTAGAATAGTTAAAAAAAGACTATGCACGAATAGTAGTATAATTAAGAACTTAATTAAAATTATTATCAAAAATTAAATAAAAATGCATTTCAAAATAATATAGAATATATTAATAATACTAGCTAAGAAGAAGAAATTTAACCAGAAAATAAAAAAAAAGAAAACAAGTAATATATAACAATAATAATAGTTTAAATTAGTTAACCAAAAAGTCAAGAATGATAGTATAATAAATTCGAATAAAACAAAAGAAAATTTACAAGAATTAATTAATGGAATTTAATATCCTTAAGTAGATTTAAGTATGACTTCATTATCTAATAATTCTACGCCTTAAAAAATCTTCGAATCGAAAAATGATTAGGCTAAAGATTAAAAGAAATAAACCACTTCCAGAATTTAAAAAAATAACAATAATTTTATTAATAATTAAAATAATAATAATAATATATGGTCCAACTCTTTTATTTAATAAAATACTATTTTTCCTGTAGTTAATGCTCCTACAATCGAATTATCAAATGATAATAGTGCTGTATTTTCTTAATATATAGGAAATGTATGTAATTCTAATAATACTAATATAAATAATAATAATAATATTAATATAAATAATAATAATAATAATAATAATTATATGACTTAAAATACATTTTCGAATAATTAAATAAAGGAAGCAATTGAAAGTTCATAAGAAATCGAAGAAAAAATATTTGATGATGAATAAGCTATTGTAAGTTTGAGAAAATAAAATTAAAGCCAAGTTGAAGATTTAGATGAAAATGTGAGTGAATTAAAAATTAGTTTTAGTAGAATTCAATAGAATTTAGAAAACGGTTAAATTCAATATTTATAAAAACAAATATAGGCTAAAGATAAAATTATAAAAAAGATTTAAACTGAAAAAATTTAATTATAATAATGTTTAGATGATTTTTAAGAGCATTAATAATATTTATAATATAATGTAAAAAAAAAAAAAAAAAATATTTATATAAAAAAAAAAAATTAAAAAAAATAAAAATAAAAAAAAGGATTAATAAAATTTAGATTAATTAAGAGGAAAAAATAACTTTTAATTACAAAATTAAATAAAATAATAAAAAAAAATAATCTTTTAAAAAAATGAATTCATAAAATAACTCGAAGAATAATAAGAAATGTAAAATTAGAATACAATAAAACTAGAAGAAGCAATATAAACAGAATTAACTAATTTACATGATTAGCTTTTGCGTTAAAAAGTACTAACTGAAACATACTAAAAACGAGTTTAAGAATAAGAAAATTAAAGCAAATAATTATAGATGTAAATTAAATAATATTAGTAGGAAATTAAATAGCTTTAATAAGAAATTAATTTAATTTAGAAATAAAATAAATACTAAAATGATTAACATTAAAATGATGTTTTTTAAATACAATAAGCATTAAGTGAAATAGAATGTCTTAAATAATAAATTTAATCATATGAAAATATTATTGATATAAATTAAAAAGAATATTAAAAATTAAGGGATTAAAATGATAAATTTATGCTTTAATAACATAATACTAATAATTTAAATACAGTTAATAAGATTTTAGGTTTAGATGATATTGAAGAAAATAAATAATTTGAATCAAAATAAATGAAATAATATAATTTAGAAGAGGAAATCAATAGAATTAGAAGTACTTATGAAAAATAAATAAATAAATTATAGGAATAATTAAATGAGAAAAAATAAATATAATAATAATAATAATAATAATAATAATAATAATAATAATAATAATAATGATTATAATGATGATAATGATGATAATGATGATAATGATGATAATGATGATAATGATGATAATAATGATAATGATGATAATGATGGTAATCATGGTAATGATGATAATGATAACTTTAATGATAATAATGATAATAGTTTACTCAATTCTGGTTTAATGTCAAGTAAAGGTTAAGATTCTAGTATAAATAATTAATATTTAAATTAAAATATAAATTATAGTTAGAATAATTAAAATTTATAAAATAATATAGTCATTAATAATAATAAAGGTGAAATTTAAGAATAAAAATAAAATATTTATATTTTACTTAAAAATGAATTATAAAATTATAATATTCTATAAGAATTTAATTTTATAAAATAAGATAGAGACGCTATTAGTAATTTTGTATAATAAGTGAGTTAAAAAATAAATACATTCTAAGATATAATATAAGAAAAGGAATATTAAATAGAAGTAGTCGAATAAAATTTAATTTAAGAACAATAAGTTTGTAAATAATTAGAAGAAACTATAATAAATTTGGAAAAAACTATTAAAACTATTGAATAATCAAAAAATAATTAATAATAAGAAATAAAAGATTTGAATGAAAACATATAACAATAAAATAAAGAAATAGAAGAATATTTAAATATGAATAAATTACTTTAAAATTAAAATGATGAACTTAATGAAAAAATATCTAATTAAGAATAAAGTATATATATATATATACTTTATTCTTAATTATATATATATATATATATATATATATATATATATATATATATATATAATATATATAATTTTTTATATATATATAAATATTTATATGCTTTTTTATAAAATTTATATACCTAAGAGCTATTATCATTATCAGAATAAAATTTAAATAAAGAAACCAAATAAAAATAAGAACACTAAATAAAAAATAATTAAAGTGAAGTTTTCGAATAAACTATTTAAAATTTAAAAGAATAAAATGAAGCTTAATAGTAATAGATTTAACTTTATGCATAATAATTTTAAAATTAAAAATAATAAATAACTGAATATTAATAACAATTATCTAAATAAACTGAAAGAAAAAATGAATAATCATAAAATATACAACTTTAATAATAAATATAAAAATATTTATAAATAATAAATGAATAAAAAACTTATTTAAAAGATTAACAAAAACTAATAAAAGAATAATGTTAGTAAGTAGAAATAGAATAGTAAAAAGTTGAAGAATTAAAAAATATAAATAACTAAATTAGCGAATAGTTAGAAATTAAACCTTAAATGATAGATAGGTTCGAACTATCATTTTAAAAAGTAAAATAGGAAGAAGAAAATATTCATAAACTAATTTAAGAAATTTAATTAAAAGATTAATAAATTAAATAATTATAAATTTAAATGGAATAAATGATATAATAAAGTTAAAGTTAAGAAGATAAAAATGATAAATAATTAAAAGATAATAAAGATAAAAAAAATATAGAACTATTTAATCAATAAAGGGTTTTGTAAGAAAATTTAAAAAAAGCAGAAAATAACATATAAAATTTAAAAGAAGAATTAGAAAAAACAAAAAAATAATATAGTATTAAAATATAGGATCTAAAATAATCTTAATAAAAATGTTAAGAGTTAAATAAATAAAATCAAGAAATAACATAAAATTTAGAAAAAATTTAATAAAAATATTCTTAAGCTTAATTAAAATTATAAGAATTCTCACAAAATAATATTTAAAATAATGTAAATATTTGATAATTATTATATATATATATATATATATTTATATATTTATATATTTATATATTTATATATATATATTATTTTTGATTTTGTAGAAATTAATCTAAGTTTTAAAATAATAAAATTAAAGTGATATTGAATAAATAAAATGTTATTTTACATCATAATATGACTAATTAAATGATTAATTTAATTTAAAATAGGAAATAATTAACTAATTAAATATAGATATTTAGAATTAGAATAAATAAATTAATGATTTAACATATACTATTGATGAAATTTAATAATAAAAAGATAATTTATTAATGAATAATAATATTCTTTAAATAGAATTAACAACTATAAATAAAAGCATAAAAGTAATTAAAAATATAAAGCTTTAAAAATATAAAAAAAGGAAATTGAAAATGAAAATTATTAATTAAGATAATAAACAAATGAAAGAAACACAAAGATTAATGAATTAAAAAGCTCATTAAATTTAAATAAGTAACATTAAGATAAAAAATATTAAAATAAAGAACAAGATAAGAATATTATAGATATGTTTTCTCCAGAAATATTATCAGCTGAATAAACAATATTATTAATGTTAAATATTTTAAGAAGAACAACGAAATCTTAAGAAATGATAAAGATTTTTTAAAATAGTGATGAATTTAGGGATTTAGTTGAATAAATAAATAATTTTAGTAAATAATAATTTTTAGAAAGTACAAATAACAGCAGATATTTTTAGTCATATTCTAATACAGGAAATAGTGAATAAAAAAATCAATAAAGATAATCACATAATAATTTATAATTAATAATAATAATAATAATAATAATAATAATAATAATAATAATAATAATAATAATAATAATAATAAATATAATAATAATAATTATTATTACAATAATAATAATTATTATAAATAAATAAATAATAATAATATGTATATCCATTATAAAATAATGTTTCCCATATTTTAACAAATCAAAGTATTTGTTATGAAAATTTCAATTCAGGAAGCTTGAATTATAACTAGGCAAAATAGAATATTAATGTAAGTACTGTTTAGTGTAGTAAAAATAATAATGTTAATTTTAAAAATAATAAAAAAAATTTAACTGAACACGATTTAAAATATAGAAATAAATTACCAAATCAATAAAATTGATATTAATTATTATTAAGTTAATTTGATTTATATGTTTTATATTGAATATAATTTTTTTTTTTTTCATTATGATTATAAAGGTAAAGGAAAATTTATATTATTAAAAAAGCCTTTTAAATATATATTATTTATAAAAATATTTATTTATTATTTAGTTTATATAAATTAATTAAATATAATTTATTATATTTATATTTATTAATAAAAATACTCAATTAAAAATTATAAAGGTCATTATCCATTTTTATTTGCTATTTTTTATTATTTGAAAGATTTTTTTTAAAATAAAAAATATATATATAAAAAAAAATATAATAAAAAACCAAAATATATATTTATATTATATTTTGTATAATGAATATAAAAGATTAATTAAATATTTAATTTATATAAAAATTTATATAAATAAAAAAAAAAAAAATTCAAACATTTTTTTTAAAAAAAAAAAACACATAATTCAATAAAAAAATAAATCTTTATATATAAAACTTTCAAATTAAAAATAATATATATATATATGAAACTATATTTAAAAAATAATTTTTCATTTAAATTAGTCATCTTCTTCATCAGGAAGTTAAGCATTTTCAACTTCTTCTAAATTCTTTCTACATTTATTCAATATGAGCTTAGTCCATAATAATTTCAGGAGGTGGTAAAGCAATACCTTCAACTAAAACAAGGTTAGGATCTCCGATTAATTTTCTAAGGATCCATAAGAAGGGTTTTTCATATTAATAGTTAGATTTAGCAGAAACATCATAATATTAAAGGGATCTTCTTCTATGGAAAGTGATTTGTCTAGCTTTGACTTTTCTGTCTTTAGAATCAACCTTATTTCCTACTAATACAATAGGGATGTTTTCACAAATTCTGGTCAAATCTTTGTGCCATTTAGGAACATTTTTATAGGTAATTCTTGATGTTACATCAAACATTATAATAGCAGCGTGAGCACCAATACTTTTTTTTTTGTTTATTATTATATATATATATATATTTTTTTTTTTAATTACTAATATCCTTCACGTAATCCTCCTAACTTTTCTTATCCAGCAGTATCCCATAAGTTGAATTTAATAGGTCCGTGGTTTGTGTTCAAAATTAAATTAGAAACATTTACTCCTTATGTTGCGACGTATCTTTTTTCGAATTCTCCTGTTTAATGTCTTTTTACAAAAGTTGTTTTACCAACACCACCGTCACCTACTAATACTAATTTGAATTCTGCTACGTATTTTGTTTAAGTCTATTTTATTTTGATAAATTAGATTTATTTTTAAGAAAAAAATATATATTTTATTTATTTACATCCATTTTTCAAAATGTTTTTTTTATTTTTTTAAGAAATTTAATAAATCTTTATATTTATATAAGTATTATTTTGTTTGCTTATAAATAAAGAATATTTATATGATTTATTATTTAATAATTTTATACTTTAATATATTAATATATATAAAAATATTAATTTTATATTAGAAACATATATAAATATATTTATTTTTTTAATTTTAAATTATCAAATAAATATTTTTTTAATCATTTTGTAAAAATACTCTATTAATATATAAAATTAATATAAGGAAAAAATATAAATTATTTTTATTTATATTATTTTAATTTTATTTATATTTTTTTACTACTTTTATTTTTTATTTACTAATAAAATCTCTATTATTTGTTATTTTCTAATTTTAACTTTTTTTTTTTATTTTTTTATTTTTTTGAGACAATATTATAATTATAAAATAAATGTGTTTTTATTATATTTTTTTAAAAATATATATGAACAAAAAAAAAAAAAAAATTAAAGTAAATAAAATTATTTTTGCTTTATCAAATTCATTTTTAATATGCATTTTATGAAATTGTTGGGAGTTGAAATAAATATTATTTTTAAATCAAATTACTGATTTTTAGAATCTTTTTATTAGTTATATTAAAAAATATAAATTAATAATAATAAAATTAATTGTGTTAAAGTTTTTAATAATAAATAGTTTTTTAAATTCAAAATTTAGAATTTATGAATTATAAATTACTTTTAAAAAAAAAAAAAATAATAAAAAAAGAATTATCTTTTCAATTTAATTTTTAATTAGAAAGATTTTTTTTTTTTTAATCTACTTTAGTTAGTTATATTTATATATTTTGTTTGTTGAAAAAGCGACTTTGAATATTAATTATTATTTATTATATTTTTATTTATTATTAGAATATCTATTGTATTTTCAAAAATAAATTATTTATTCACCAAAAACCAAAACCAAAAATATAAAACTTTAAAAATCTTGATTGAATATTTATAAAAACTTAAATTTACATAAATTGCATACATTGTTATTATTATTAATTAATAATTTATTTATTTGAAAATTATTTTTATATATTAATTTTTAGTATAGTTTTTTTTTAAAAAAAAAAATCAATTACATAAATAAAATGACTATAATACATTTTTTTAAAATTGTATTTAAAAAAAAATACATTAAAATATATAAAATAAATAAATAAAATAAAAAATATTATTTTATTTTAAAAAATAGGTTAAAATACAATTTATATACATTTTTTTAATTAATTTATAGAAAATTTATAATGTTTTTAATAAATAAAATTTCTAATTTCTATTGTAATTTACTAACACTACAACAATATTTAACTTATTTTAAAATATTTTGATAAAATATATACATAGAATATTATATTAATAAACTTTAATTTAAAAGATAAAAATTTTAATCTAATTGCAATGTCAAAAAATAACATATATACATTTTTTCATAATAAAAATAATTTGATATATATATAAAATAATAATAATATCTTTGAATGTATATTTTTACTTTATTATTAAATAATAGTTTTTATTTATTAAATTAAATAAATAAATTATTTCATAATATATGATATTATTTTAAAAATTATAATTAATATTTTAGTAATATATAAATTTATATATAATTTTGATAATTATTTATAATTATAATATTTTATTAAAATTTGTATATTATTTTTTATATTTTATTTATATAAATAATTTATTTAATAAATTTATTTATATTAATAAAAAATGATTTTATAGAAATTCTTTTATTTATATTTTATAATAAATAAAATTTTTAATATTATTAGCTAATATAATTTTTAATTAAATATTTTTTTTATGTATTATTTCATATTATGTATTATATATTTCTAGAATAATATTTAATTTTTTTTCATTAACAATTAAATTTTTTAATAATATGTAAATTATTATGATTGCTTATTTGATATTTTTTTTTAATTATATATTAAAAAAATAAAATAATAAAAATTAATAAAAGATTAATTAAATGTAACAACAAACATTTTTTCAATTTAACTAAGGCTCTAATTAATAAGAATATATGAAATTGTTTAAAAAAGTTACATCTAACCTTTCTTAATAGATGACCTAATAAACAGATTTAAATAACTCAATTTACGAGAGGACAGAGTTTATAAATGATACAAATTCTCCTTTTTTTAAAAAAAATAAATATATAAAAAATAATTATACAAGTAATTAATATCTTACCAAATTAGTTTTTTATCTTTTAAAATCTATAAACTTTGTATTTGATCATTATTTAAATAATTAAGTAGATAATTTAAAATAAAATTCATAAATTATACAAAAATAAATGTATGATAAAATTCTCATAAATAAATTAATCTATGTAAAATAAATTGGATAAGGTTAATTCGGAAAAGTATACTTAGCTTACGATATGTAAAAAAAAATATATTCTATAAATATAAAATAATATATTTATATATTAACATATTATTAATATTAATTTTATAATATATCAATTAGAATAAATAAGTAAATCTTTAGTTTAAAATGGGTTAGTAATATTTTTGTTAACTAATAAAATATAAAAAAACATTTATTATAAGAATTATATGTATAAAGAAATGTTAAATTCTAATTTATTGTTTAACATATTAAATTTTTTAATTATAATGAAAACTATATATATTTAAATGAATATATTTAAGGAGATGATATGAGTTCTTAGCTTTATGATTGCTAAAATTTTAAAATCACAAGATGTTAATTTTATATTGCTTAATTAATTTTATGTTTAGAATATTTACATAAGAATAATATCATATATAGGGATTTAAAACCAGAAAATATTATGATAGATAAAGACGGATATATTAAATTAGTAGATATGGGTACTTGTAAATTTCTAGATAAAAATACTTTTGGTATTTTATTTTATTTTTTAAAAAAGAAAATATTAGTTTTATTTTTATTTAGGTAGGACATAAACTATTATTGGAACTGCTTTTTATATGGCTCCTGAAGTTATTTTAGCAAAATCTTATTCTTATTATGTGGACTTATGGAGTCTTGGAATTATTTCTTATGAATTTTTATGTGGTTTTGTACCTTTTGATTTCGATAATTAAAATCCTTCTATGGTTTATCAAAATATTATAAGAAAAAAACTTTAGTTTCCTTATTTTTTATAAAAAGAAAAAAGTAGCTATTGATTTTGTTTCTTTATTGTTATAAAAAAGTTGCGACAAAAGATAAAAAGTTACATTTTAATAATTAAAAAATCACGAATTATTTAGAAATTTTTCATGGGAAAAATTATTAAAAAAATAAATAAAGCCTGATTTTATACCTAAAAAAGATAAATATTTAAACTAATTAATTAAAGAAAGTATAAATTAAAAAATCAGTATCTTATAGAAAATTAATCTTTGAAAAATATATAAATATAGTGAAAGTGTTTTTACTAAAAAATTATATATAAAAAATTTAATTATAATAAAATTTTAATATATTTTAATTTATAAAAATAAAAAAAATATATAATTCTAAATTATATTTCATTGCATATTAAAATTAACAATATCTAGTTTTCTTTTTTTTTTAAAAAAAATATATTTAGTTAATTAATATTTCCTTTAAAAAAAAATAGATTCTAATAATATAAATAAAAAAAATATCTCTTTATTATATATTAAAAAATTATTAGATATTTATATACGCCTAAAATTATGACGTATATTAATATATATTTTATCAAAATTAATAATACTAAAAAAATAATAATTTTTTACATAAGAATTAATCCATTATAAGCTTCTTAATTTTGAAAGTTTTTAGAGAACAATTTTAATCCAAATTTTAATATAGCATTATGTTGAGATTAAAAACAGAAAGGCTTCATATATCTAAATATCCTAATTCTTAAATAATATTCAAATATAAAGCATATTTAACGTAGCTATAAATTAATATTAAAGTAGTGAAATTTATATATTTAATATAAGCATTATCAGATTCTAATATAAATATAAATAATTATATGTTTTAAAATATGTTGAATTTTTGAGGATATATTTATTATATATATATTGAAAATCAAATTAGAAAAAAATTCAATATATTTTTAATTTTAAATTAAATAAATATTTTTTTAAATATATAGTATATTAGTTAAATAAATATATATAAAATGTATGATTTAGGATAAGTTATAAATATTAAAATAAAAGTAATTAAATATTTTCCTATTTATTACTAAGCAATAAAATTATATAAGCTTAAAGAAAAACAATACTAATATATATCTATATATTTCTTTTAAAAAATATTATTTCAACAAAAATAATATTATCTAATATTTGAAATAGTGAATTTAAATTTGTTTTAATAAAAAAAAATTATTATAAAAAAATATAATTTAAATATTTAAAAATATATAAATAAATTATTTTATTTATATTATTATATTTTGATATAAATATAATATTAAATTATAAAAACTATTTTTTATTTTTTGAAATATAATTTAATATATTTTATTAGAAAATTTTTCATTTTTTTTACAATAATTTATATTATTAGCTATCATATTTTATCGATTTATATTTATTTAAGCCTATAAGAGCATTTTTACTTACTGATAACAAATTTTTGCAATTAATAAATGGACTATTATTATTATTATTATTAGTAATAAATTAATTTATTGAGCTAAAATTATTATTATTAATATTGTTATTAATATTGCTATTAATATTATTATAATTTTTAGTAATTTGACTTATCAATTATTTAATTTAATAATTAGGCTGATTATTACTATTTTAATTGTTGTTTTTAACAATTTTACTTTGTAAGTTTAGCTAACTAATATTAGCAAAAGAATTAAGAACATTATAATTAATCTTATTAGTTGAAATTCTATTCGAATCATTTTATTTTCCTTAAGAGCTACTATTTTTATCATAATTATTAGAAGCTTCAGTTTTATTTTTTTAATATGTATTATACATACTTTTTTTAAATTTTTGTGAGGTTTTTGCTATATTTAAGAATCCGCTCCTATTTATAATATTTTTATTTTTTTTAGTTTCAAAACTTTTACAAATATCATTGTTATTAATATTTTTATTTATAAATGAACTATTATATTAATAATATGTTTATTAATTACTGTTTATGTCTTTTTTATTTGTTTAAAAATCTTCAGTATTTAATCTTGCATTATTGCAATTTTTCTTAAAATAATTTTAACTCTATGTAATAGGAGATTTATATATTTTATTTTAGATATTTTTGATTGCACTGTTTTATATTAAATTAAAGTCTGGTTTTTCTATTTTATGTGTACTTTTTAGTAATTTATTTGCTAAAAAAGAAGATTAAATATTTGATTAGGTTTTCATATAAATATTATTAAGTCCATTTTTTTCCAAAATATTTAAATTATTTGTTTTTTAAGGTTGTTTTCCTTTATAATTTTTAACTTATTCAAAGTTTTTTTAAGCTTTTTTAATAAATAGGAGTTAAGAGTTACTTTATTTTAATTATTTTTAAGAATTTTAAGATTCGTTTACAATATTTGTTGATTTGTTTATTTCTGAAATATGTATATTCTATTATTTATTATTATTATTTTTATTATTATTATTTTTTTAGGGTTATTTCTGATAAAGAATAGACTTTTGGATTTTTTCTATTAGATGTGAAAAATCTTATTTTAAATTTGTTTAAAAGCCTTCTTTTTGAAGAATTTCAGAACTTCTTAAATTACTATTATTATTTTAATTATTATTGTTATTATTTTATGTATTTTTTTTACTTTTATTTTCAAAGTTTTTTAAATATTTTTATAAATTATCGCTTTATGAGTTTTTGAAAACTGTTTAAGGAGATTATTAATCAAATTTGAGATTTTTATTTTTAGCACTTTCTTATTATTAATTTAAAATTAAGGAACTAAGTATTTTTTATTATGGAGATAGTAAGATATTGTTATTGCTTAAGTTTTTTTTCAATTTCTTCTTATTTTAATTTGCTAAATTGTAAAAATCTACATCTAGAGAATTATTATGTGAGACATAATTATTTTCTTATTAAATACGAGGGTATATATAATTATGATTTGTTTAGGAACATTTAAATTTTTTTTCTATGTCTTGGACTGCTTTACGCTTCGATTTTTCTAATTCTATTTATACTATTGGATCATGTTAATATTTTTCTATTTGAACTTTTAATTGTTTCTGTTTTTCTAATTCTTATAATATATGGTTGCCTGCAATTTTTTATTATTAGTTACCATATATTAATAGTTCTTATAAATATTTTAAATATTCTTTATCCTCCATATTATTAGTCCTTCGTGTTTTTTTGTTATATTATTTATCTTTAACGTAATTTTTTTTTTTTTTTTTCTTATTTTTTTTTTTTTTTTTTTTAATAAAATTTTTATTTTTTAATTTAAGAAATAATATATATAAACTAAGAAAAAAAATTTAATAAATTAATTTGATAAAAATAATATTTTATCATACCTTTTTAAAATATATTTATTTTAATTGTTATTATATTTTTATTTTTTTATTTTTTTCACATTTATTCATTTTTATTATTTTCTTTTTATTTTTTTAAAAAAGGCTTAATTTTATTTTAGAGACAATCTTAAATATCCTCATTATTAATTTCTTTTTAATTATTAAAATCTTAAATATTTTCTTTATTTTCAATATCATCAATACTTTTTTAACTATGATATTATATGAACGATTAATTAAACTAATTATAAAAATCTAATTAATAATTTTAATTATTAATCATATATTATTGTAATTATAAATCTATTTTTTTTAATTCATTTTTTTCAAAGTCAAAATTAATTTCCTTCTACTCATAGATCTCCTATATACAAAAGCAAGTAATATCTTAAAGTAAAATAATTTATTAATCGCCTTTAAGATAAATCTATTCTATATAAACTTTAGTGTTTTTAATGATTTTTTTTATATCTTTAACTATTAGCTTATATGTTTTATCCACTTTTAATTATGGAGAAAAATCTAGAATTTTATAATAATAAAGTTTTTTAAATATACATTCATTATATAGATTTTCATATTATTATTTTTTTGAAATATATAATAAATAATCAATATTTTTAATGTTTATTAAATTTATAAGGGAATATTCACATATCTAAATTTTAAAAATAATAAATTAATATATAATTTTTTTTTTTTCATATAAATATTTATAAAAATACCATTTATAATGTATTTATTGCAAAGTATTATGAATATTCGAAAATTTTTATCCAATCTTAAAGTTTGAGATCGAAAGAAAGGATGACTCGATTGGTATATATATAATTTAAAATTATTTTTAAGTATTTTAAAGAAATAAAAGGTAAATTAACAATTTAATATGAGTTTTCAATAAAGCCTTAATTGAAAATATTCATAAAATAAAAAGAATAATGGCTCAATAATTTTTTATTCACAAATAAAAAAGTATTTTCGCAAAATAATATAGCATCATTAAATTATTGATAAATTAAATTTTGTGAATATAGAAAATTTTAATTTTATAAAACATAAAAATTCAATTAAATTTCATCTGAATATTGACACATTTTTTCAAATTAAATTTTATTAAAAATATCATATTTTATTTATCTTTTGATTTATTCATCTTTTTATTCTTACAATATACACTCAAGAAGTGTTTAGAATTAAATTTCTTTGGCCAATTTTATTAGTTTTTCTTTATTTTTGGTATTTTCTAGTTAAGAATAATCCAGAAGATTGAAATAAATAAAATTTATGAATGTTTTTTCTATAAAATCTTAATCAAAATCGTAATTTGTGAAATCTATTTTAGAATTATTAGATAACATATTCAAAAAATAAGCATTTTTTTAATTAAAAATGTTCTCCAATACAATTATCTTATGTATTTTTATAGAAAAATTTTTAAAAAATAATTCTAAATCACCTTTTTGATTATTTTACATTATTTATTAAATATTGGAAAAATGTATTTTCATAATATTTTCTTTATATATTTATTAAGAAATGATATTATTACAATAAAAAGTATCTAAATAATGTATATCATTATAATATTTTCCATTGTACCCTCCAAAATAAATAATTATATCTCCTACTATTGCAGATGACATTTTTCTTTTTAAGTGAGAATAACTTTAACATAAAACTTAAAATTTATCCTCTTTAGTATTATATATTATAGTATCGTATTTTTCTTCTTTTTTTCGTCCTCCAAATATAAATATTTAATCCCTAATATATACCTATGAATGACCCCATCTAGGAGTAAATATATTATAACGATTATTTATTTATTTCCATTCTAAAAACTAATCACTTTTTTTTTAAAATTTAAATTTATTTAAATCTAGTTCCCATATATCGCTTTTTTTATTTCTTATTTTTAATTTTTTTTATTTATTTTTTACTCAAAACATTCATAGTCTCCTACAAAACCTCCTGATATATATAGTTTGTTATTTTTTAGAATACAACTGGCATGAAATTTTCTTTTTGGTGGAATTTTTCCTTTAAACTGAGGAATTACACTGTTATATTTTTTATTAATTATTTTTTTTTAAAAAAAATTACAAAATAATAAATTTAAAAAATATATATTTATATTTAAAAATTTAAATTTTTATTTTTATATTTATTAAAAAAAAAAAAAAAAAAAAAAAAATTAATATTTGTATATTTGGCATTTTTTCTTTTAATTACAATTCTGCATATTTTTAATTCTTTTTTGGTAATTTAATAACAGTAAATTCATCTAAGTCTACATTCGATTCACCTCCATAAACTGCAATATACTTTTTTTAAAATAAATCTCCTGAATGATATGTTCTATTCATTAACTCATGTTAGTCTTTTACTAATACGTTATGCCATTATTTTTCTTATATATCAAATTTATATATATTATTATATCTTTGTTTTTTAAAACTTCCACCCCCGAATATATAAACTCTTAAAATAAATATTTGTATATAAAGACAATTAAAAATAATTTTTACGCATTAAGATATTATGAATAACAAGCACTCTAATTAGAACGTTATTCTGGGATATTGTTGGAGAGGATTTCATTCCAAGATTTGGAATATAGATCAAGAATCCATGTATCATTTAAATATTTAGATTCTTTATTTTGAGTTTTTTTTTTTTTTTTTTAGTTAAAAATAAAAAAGACTATATTTTATATCTTTTTAAAAAATACCTTAATAACCACCAAAAAGTAATAATTATCTTTTATTTAATGCTGTTAATGTATGACCCCATCTTTAAATTGGAGATTATGTATTTTGATCACTTAATTAAAATTTTTTCCAGTACTTTTATTTAGTTTTTTATGAGTTCATATTTTAATTTAGTATAATTTATGTTTTTCTATTTTTTTTTTTTGAAATTAAAATGTAAAATTTTTATTTTTTTATATAAAATTAATTATAAGTGTAATAAACAAAATTTTAAAAAAATAATTTTTTAAATAAAATTAATATGAATTTATTTTAAAATGAAATATAAGAGTAAATAAAATTCATTAATTAATATATTTAAAAGAAAAAAATGGAATAAGCTACTAAATATTTCAATATATATAATTATTTTATGTTGAAAAAATAAAATTAAATATTAGTAATAAATTTTTAAATGCAATAATTTAACTACCAAAATAAATATATATATATTTTTTTTTGTATAATATACCATAATCTAAATAAAAAGTTTATTTTTTTTAATTTAATTTAGTATAATTTTTACATATAATGCAATATTTAAAAACTAAAAACATAGTTAATAATCTATGTATTTTCATAAATTAATGTTATATATGAAAGAAGAATAAAAATAACTTTTTATCTTCAATTGTTTAACCATAACAATATAATTTATATATATTTATAGTTTTTGTTATATTTTAAATAGAAAAATATATCTATATGTATATACATATATATATCTATATTAATATACATAAATATATCTATATGTATATACATAAACATATACTCTTTAAATATTGGAATAATATTTAATTTAGTTTTTTAAATTAATTATAAAATTATTTTTAAAAATATTAATTTCTACAGTTTTAAATGAATTAAACAAATATAAGTGATGAGTAAAAAGTAAAATTTTTAATTTTTTTAAAGAATAAAACTTTTAAAATATAAAACATTAAAAAAAGGTTTTAATTTTAGAATAAGAATTAATAAAAATAAATTAATTACATAAATAATAAGATATGGATACGTAACATTTTATATTATTTTTTTTTTAAAATAAAATTATGTTATTAACTTAGGTAAAAAGTTATAAAATTTTATGAAGAAACAATATTACAAAAGAATAAATTAATTGATAGTTTAATGGAAAAATGTAATATATATGAATTAAATTAAAATAAAGAAGAAGTAATTGAAAGTACTCATATTTAAATATTAAGGTTGAAATCGTAAATAAGAGAAAAAGAATAAATAATAAAAGATTTTAAAAATAAAATTGCATAGCTTGAAGAAGAATAATAGTTAGAATTAAAATTTATTAGAAGTAAAGTTTTACAAGAAAATGAATTAAAATTAAAACTTTAAAAAGTTCCTGTTATGATTGAAGTATAAAATAATAAATAATATAAAGTATTCTAAGGTATAAATTTTAATAAAAAAGAATAAGGCTTTGAAAGAATTAAATTAAAAATTGGAAAAATAGATGTTAATTTTTGATGTATTTTTTTATAAATACAGTCTATTTATTAATTTATTTTTTTTTAAAAAAAATAGGAAAAAGTAAATGATTTACAAAATAATTTAAGAGAAAATAATGCTTAAATGGAAAAATTGTAAAAATAAAATTTAAGATTAGAATAATAATTAAAAGTAATTTATTTCATTTTTTTTTAGTTTTGTTTAATAATATTTATATATTTATTAATATAAGGAAAAATTAATTTTAGAAGAAGAATTACTAAAAAAAATGATTATTAAGATCGTAAAGTTATTTTTGAAGTTTTTAAAGATGATTAACTTTTAAGTAAATATATATATATATATATTTTAAATAAATGTAAAAAAGTAATATTTAAGGCGGAGTTGTTGAAATATTTACTAGATTTAGAAAATTAATTATGAAATAAATACTAGATATATTTTTGAAAAGTAACAGATTATCATAAAAGGGAGAAATGTAAAAAATATTAAAAAATAAAACAAAAAAAATGAAAATTTATATCAAAGAAACTCAATAGGTTATTTTAAAAAAAATATAGAAAAGTATTTGTAAAAATAAAACTTTTAAAACAAAAGCTTAATAGTACTCTATAAAAAGTATTTAAAAAAAAAAAAAATGAAACAAAAAAAAATATAAAAAAAGTTTTAAAGAGTTAATTTAATTTTTTTATCCTGCTTATGGAGTAATTAATTAAATAGAAATTGAGAATGAAAATAATAGTATAGACTAAATAATAATTTAAAGAGATTAACTTAATGGCTGGCTTCTAAATAATATTTTGGTATTAAAATATCAAAGGAAATAAGAATATTAGTAACTTAAAAATGATAAATTTAATAAAACAGAAGAAGACATTAATATGTTTTCGGTACGTTATTTATATAGATATTTAGCTATTTATTATAGAGTAAACAATTTGAATGAATAAAAAAAATTGGAATTAAGAGAAAATTTAAATAAAATTGATATAGACTTAGAAATAAGTATCGAAGAATAAATTATAACTTTATATTAATAATTAAAAATATGATTTTTTAATAAAAAAATGTTTTATAAGTAATTTATTAAAATATATATTTAATAAATGATAAATTTAAATAATTTTTCTTAAAAAAAATACGTCAATTTTTTTTGTTTTAAATAAAATAAGATAAAATAAAATAAGATAAAATAAAATAAAAAAAATAAAAAAAAATAAAGTAAAATAAAATAAAATAAAATAAAAAAAATTAAAAGAAATTTAAAGTAAAGAAAAGTAAAAAAGAAAAAAAAGAAAAAAAGAAAAAAAAAATAAAAAGAAAAAGAAAAAATTAAAAAAAAATGGGTAATACAACCCAAAAACCAGAATTAGATTAAGTAATAAGATATAGAGTACAAGAATTTGATTAAGAAATAGAAATAATATTTGCTAATTTAAAGAATAAAAATCGTTTTTCTAAATACAAAATTCCTTCAGATTCAAAATTATTAGATTAATTTTAAAAGTTTCTAAAACAATTAATTGTTGATGAAAATAATAAAAAAATTATTCAAAATCTCCCTAACAAATATAAATGGAGATTACTTGTTAAATAACAGTAAATATAAGAAGGTAAATGTAGTGAAAATATAATGAAATCTTAAATGGAGAAATATTTATTAAGATTAAAAGAAAGCCTAAGTATTTATGAGATAAAAAATTTTTGGTAATATATATAAAATGAAACTAATTAGGAAGAATTGTGGAAAGACTTCAAAAATTTTAAAGGACCATAAACAATATCAGAAATATTAAGTTTATAGGAAATAAAAAGTACACAAAATGGCAATTTTGATGTTTTAATTCATATTTTATAATTTATTTAGTTCATTTTGTAGTTTTTTTCTGGGGCAATTGACCTGTTTTGTAAAACGGAAAATTGCTTAAAAAATATTGTTTAATGTATAAATCCTTTACACCCAGTTGTCAGTTGTTTAGTTTATTAAATTAGTTCTTTATTTATGAATAAAGGAGATGAATAAATAGAATAAATTAATAAAGGGTTTAGTGAATTGAAAAAAAAGTTAGAATTAAAAACTAGGTATTAGATTTTTATTGATATCTTAAAAGATTCTAACAATATCGTCCTTATAAGAAACACTATTATTTTTCTTATTGAATTTCTTACTGTGCCTTAAAATAAATAAAAAGCAAGACTTATAAGATAAGAATTATATGAAGTTGGCCTTAAAAATGCTCTTGAAGTAAACTTAATTATTTAATACTTATAATATATTATATATTTTTATTTTATTTAAAGATTATTAGTGTTAAAATAAGGTTGTAAAGATATGCTATATAAGATTGTACAAAATAAGGAATTGATTCAGAAATAAGAAAGGCTCTAAAAAAACAAAATTCAAATAATTACTCTTTTTAAAATTCATGTGATTATGAATAAATAAAAAGTAATTTTTTAAAAAATAAAATAAAATTAAGTTTGATAAATAATATATATTAAAATATATATATTAGGAGATTTAAGTATATATGAAGAAAAAATAAAAGATGGCATCTAAAATGATACAGATGATTCAGGAAATGAAAATATAGCATTAGAATTAATTGAAAAAGACAGTGTCATAAACAGGGAAGACAGTATAATTTAAAGTTAGTAAAATTTAGTTGAAGAAAATGAACTGAAAATAGTTTTAGATTAAGATGACAATAAAATATTCAAGAAATTATTAAAAAGCGTTTAAGTAGATATTAAGACTTTATTGAATATTAATTTAGAAGAAGAAGCAAATAATGAAAATGAATATATAATGAAGGATAATGAAGGGAATAGCTTAGAAAATATAATTGGAAAACTTAGAAAAAAAGCATTCGCGAGCGATTGCTTTGATTAATTAATAGGGTCTTTATAAAAATTATTATTATTATCAGATGAGGAAGATAAAGCCAAAAGAATATTAACTACTTTAGATAAGGTTTTATCTAAAATTTTCTCCACACCTAATGGATGTATTTAATAAATATATAATAAGTTATTTGTACATTCAATAATAAATAAATAGAATTAAATGAAAAAGATTTAAGTTAATATATTGAAGATTATAAAAGTGTGGATTTTTTTGTGAAAAAAATATAGGAATTAGAAACTTAAAATAATAATTTATAGATTGATGTTAATAAATTAATAAAAGATAAGAATGAAGAATTGGGAAAAAATATTATTTTAAATAAAGAAAAAAAGGAAAATTCTTAAATAATAGAAAATTTAAAAAATGAAAATGAAAATTTTAAAAAGGAAATTGAATAATTAAATTTTAATTTAACAGAAGAATAAACTAAATATAATAATTTTAGAAAACTAAATATATAATTAGAAGAATAATTATAAAATATGATTATGGATATTAATTAAGAAAAAAAATAAAGTTTTATAAGTGATGATTATTAAAATAATAATAATAAAATAAATGAAAATTAAGATTTTCAAAAACAATGTGAAAATTTAGGATTATAAATTACAGAATTTAAATAAAAAATATAAAGTTTGTAAATATAGAAAAATAAATAAGTAAAAGAAATTGAAGAAAAAATTAATAAAATTAAAGATTAGGAAAAATAAATTGATGATTTAATTTAAGAAAATAATGAATTAAAATCTCAAATCGAATCTACAAATAATCATGTAAATTATAATATATATATATATATATATATATATATATATTTAATATATATATTTATTTTAATTTTATAATTTATAGTATTAATCAAAAATTACTTAAATATCTACAAATATTAATAATAATAATAATACAAATTAATCTAATAATACTATTTAACCTCAACCTTCTTAAAATAATATTCCTAATACTACTATTCCGCCATCTATCGAAATACCTCCACCTCCATCTATGGGAGTACCTCCACCACCATCTATAGTAGTACCTCCTCCACCATCTATGGGAGTACCTCCTCCACCATCTATGGGAATACCTCTACCACCCTCTATGGGAGTACCTCCACCACCATCTATTGGAGTACCTCCTCCACCATCTATGGGTGTACCTCCTCCACCATCTATGGGAATACCTCCACCACCCTCTATGGGAGTACCTCCTCCACCATCTATGGGAGTACCTCCTCCACCATCTATGGGAATATCTGCACCACCATCTATTGGAATACCTCCACCACCATCTATGGGAACACCTCCACCACCATCTATTGGAATACCTCTACCACCCTCTATGGGAGTACCTCCACCACCATCTATTGGAGTACCTCCTCCACCATCTATGGGTGTACCTCCTCCACCATCTATGGGAATACCTCCACCACCCTCTATGGGAGTACCTCCTCTACCATCTATGGGAATATCTGCACCACCATCTATTGGAATACCTCCACCACCATCTATGGGAATACCTCCTCCTCCCAATTCAATACCCCCTCTTCAAAATAATATACCTCCACCACCTGGATGTATACCCCCACCTCCTTTTGGAATACCATCTGCTCCTGGATCTATACCAACTCCACCTGGAGGTATACCCCCACCTCCTTTTGGAATACCATCTGCACCTGGATGTATACCAACTCCACCTGGAGGTATACCCCCACCTCCTGGAGGTATACCCCCACCTCCTGTTGGAATACCCCATATTCCTAATGGCTTATTACCACCTCCACCAGGAGGATTACCTCCACCTCCACCAGGAAGATTACCACCACCTCCAGGAGGATTACCTCCACCTCCAGGAGGACTACCACCACCTCCAGGAGGACTACCACCACCTCCAGGAGGATTACCATCTTTTCCAGGTGGAATACCCGGATTACCAGGATCAATTCCATAAATGGGTGGTGTTGTAGCAAAAAAGAAGAGAAACCCTCCTGTATAAATGAAGAACTTATTATGGAACTAAGTACAAGCTAATAACATTAAAAATACCATATGGGAAATTGTTGATGATGAACAAGTAAAACTAGACGAATAATTTTTGAATGAATAATTCGAGAAACCTGCTCTAATTACATAATCTTAAATAAAATAAGCAAATACTAAAGCAGGAGGATCTGCCGCTGCTGTATAAATAATAAAAAAAATAAGTTTAATTTAGCCAGATAGAACTAAAGTTTTAGAAATAATATTATAAAAATTAAGAATGTCTCCGCCAATTATGGCTAATGCTATTCTAACAGTAGACGAAAAAATATTAACATTAAGTACTTTATAATCATTAAATAACATAGCACCAAATAAAGAAGAATGTGACTAAGTTTCTATCTATATAGAAGGAGGTGGGTAAATAGATTAATTGGCAACCCCAGAAAGATTTATATTGGAAATTAAAGAAGTAAAAGGATATCATGATAGAATAAAAGGGCTTTTATTTGCGAAGACATATGAAGAAATGTTCACCGATTTAGAACCGAAAGTAAAAAAAATGAGTGATGGGATTAATTTCTTGAAAAAAAGTGAGAAAATAAAAGAAATGTTATAATATGTACTTGCTATAGGAAATTATTTAAACGGATAATCTATTAGAGGAGGCACTTATGGGTTTAAATTAGATACTTTGTTAAAATTAAGTGAAATTAAAATGAAAGATAATAGAACTACACTTATGATGTATGTTGTGGAAATTATAGAAAAAAAATTCGGGTTGATTATTACTGAATAGGAAGAGGAAAATTTATAATGTTTGGAGTCTATTCCGATATCTATACTGGTAACCGATCTTAATGAAATTAAAAAATAATTCAGAAGTATGTAAAAAGCTATTGCTTCATAAACGGAATTACCTTAAGATATTATTAGTGAAAAATTAAAAGGATTAGTTTCAGAAATCGAATAGAGAATTAATTTAAATGATAATAAAATTAAGGAAATAGATAGTCTTTATAAAGAAACTGCGGTTTTTTATTGTGAAAAAGTTAGTGAACCATCTGAAAAATTCGCGGAGAAATTCGGGAGTTTCTTTAGAAAAGCAAAAAGAGAAAAAATAGAAAAAGTTAAGATTGATGAAATGAAAAAAAAAGAATTGCTGAAATTACAAAAAGATAATAAAAATTTAAATAATAATGCTCAAAATAGTAAATGAAAAAAATATTATTATTATTTTTTTTTAATATTTTTATTTTTATTTTTTTGTTATTTAATAATTATAAATATTTTATTATATTATAATTATATTTTTTACTTCTTTTTTACTAATCTTTTTATTTCAAGCTAAAATAAATAAAATTAAACAATACTTGTTTATATTTGCATTAAAATTAAAATATAGTAATATTTAGATAAACAAAAAATTAATAAAAATAAAATAAAAAAATATGTCAAATTACAACGAAAAAACCTAAAAAAAAGATACTTAAGAAAGGGAAGAAATACTAATAAATAATAAAGAATTAGATGTATTTTAAAACCAGGAAACAAATTATAAAAAACCAGGATTATATTAAAAAATAAAACTAAATGAAGATACCATCTAATTATAAGCCGGTTAAGCTTTTCATAATTTTAGGCTTTATAAAGATGAAGATATTGGAATTAAAAAGAATTGCTAATAAGTAATTCTTAATTAAGTAATAAAAAAAAAATTATTGATTATTTTATCTTTTTTACATTTTAAATAAAAAAGGATTGGGATGAAGATATTGAAACTGATTTAAGTGTTGCTAAAAATGCTGTTAAAAAATGTTATAAGTAATTAAAAGTTGCTATTACTAATGTAAAGTCTGGTAAAGAACCTAATTATGAAAATTATTATTGCGATTCAAATGATAATCCTTATAAAATGGAAAATTTAATGATATAGAAAGATTATTTAAATAGTTAATAAAATAAATAAATTTAATCGAATAGTTAAACTGGATTATCATCTTAAATTAGTGAGTCTGGGATTAGTTCTTGCTTAAAAGAGTAATTTGAATATTCTAGTTAATATTATAAATATAAGGAAGATTATTATTAATATTGTAATGAAGATTGTTGATAATTTTTTTATTTTTTTTGGATTAAACTTTATATAATTAAAATATATTTAAAATTATAAAATATATTAATTTAAAAAAAAAAAAAAAAAATTATTTTTTATACTAAAAAGAGGATATTTATATATAGATTAAATTTAAATTAATATCCAATTAAAATATATATATAAATTTAAAAAAATAACGAAAAAATGAAATTTTTTTGTAAAAATTCATTTTAAATTTATTGTATTTATCATGAAAATCAACTAATAAATTATTTTTCAGAAAACAAAAGAAATCTCCTTTGTAAAACATGCATATAAGAACTCTAAATTAATGAATATGAAAATTTACATTCATTTTTAAATTATAATATATATTAGTAAAATCCATTAAGTACTAATAAATAATAATCTTTTTTATTTCTTTCTGATAAACTAAAATCTTAATTCAATACATTATTTTAATCTTCTTTATAAAATCATATTGATACAATAATAAAATAAATAAATATGTAATTAAATACAATAAAAAAAAATATATAGGACTCTTTATCTAATATTTTAGATAACTATTTATCAGAATAAGCTTTGATAAGAGAATAATAAAGATCAGTTGAATAATTATTATAAAATATAAATTCTGCAGAAAATAATTATGTAAAATATATTATAAATATAAAGAATAAAAAAAAAAAAACAAATAAATAAAAGGATAAAATTGATAACTCATTAAAGAAATTTATTACAGGAAATTAAGAAATTGAAAACTGTTAAGAAAAATTAGATAAATTTAATTCTGAACTCGATAAACTTTTTATATTATTTCGAGAATAATAAATTATCGAAATAGATTAAATAAAAAAAAATTTTAATAATTTAATAGAGAAAAGCCATTTTACAATATAATCATAAAATTATTAATAATATAAAAATTAATTAAAAATAGAAATTATTCATAAAGTAGTTAAAAATAATAATAATAAAATATAAAAACAGACTACGAATAAAAAACAAAGAAAACAATTAATTCTAATCAAAGTATTTTTTAAGAATTTATAAAATAACCGTCTTCTTCTTAAAATAATAATATAGAAGTTAATAAAACTTAGAAATTTCTCCCTAAAAATTAAAGTCTTTGGAATCCTAAAATAAGAGATCATAATCTATTAGATCTATTAGGACTTTATAATATTTACCTGATTTATAATAAGAAAAACCTAGATTTTCATTTAATAATTAATGTACATAAGAATAAACAAACCCTATAAAATCGTAAATGAACTAAGATTTAATTAAATCTTTATATTTTAATAAACCTATTTAAAAAAATAATATAAATAGAAATAATAATGAATAAAATGTAAAAAATAAATAAAATAGTCCTCCTTATTTAAATAAAAACACAATTTAAAATTCTTAATAAATTAATATAATGCAATAATGTTTATATGTAACTGGAAATAGTATAAGCAAAGATATAAGTTAGAAAAATTAACTTTAGGCAGAAATATAAATAGACTCTAATGTAGAAATAATATGTGCTTTTATCCTTAATTAGAATATTATAGTTTCAGGATAATCAGATGGAAAGATTATATTGTGGTTTTATCAGTAAAGTTAATAATAGGTTATTAATCTATAAAATTTTGTTAAAAATGCTTTAATTTAATAAAAAATATCGATTCCAGCACATTATGGTAAAGTTTTATGTTTAAAACCTTTTATTTAGACTAAGGGAATATTTATTTCTCTTGGAGAAAAAAATAACTACAAAAGTCGATAATCTTCAATAAAATTATGGATTATATCAGATAATTATAATTTAAACGAGATATAGGAATTTAGAAATTTACATTAAGTTTAAATGATAATATATATAAATATAAAAATATAATATATATATATATTTTTATAATAATATTTATATATATATATATATTTTTATATATATATATATATATATATATATATATATATTAATATAAGGAATCAATTTAATAAATAGAACTTATAAGTGAAGGTTATTTAAAAGCTGAATTTAATAAGAATACTAAAAAATGTAATAAAACTAATCATATATTAAAACGTAAACAGTTAAAAAGCAATAAGTATTCTAAAATAACATTGGAGAAGAAAATAATTAAACTTATATAAATAGGATAATTATTGCTACTTTCAGTATACAAGATTCAATAAGAATATGGAAAATTGATTCATAATAATCTGCATTTAAAAATTGTTTAGTTTAGAAATTATTTTAAGTTAATATGTTATTGTTCCCTTTATGTAAAAGCTTTGAGTATTATTAAAATACTATTTATTTTAATACCATTAGAAGTGTTTATTTTGCAAAAATAAATAAAGAATTTAATCAAATATCTGATATTTATTAACATGTAGTTTTCTTGAAAAATGACGATGCTATTTTGTAAATGAAGACCAATGAGAATGCTATAATTGTAATTTCAAAAAGTTTAAAAGTTACAGTATTTGAGTAATATTTAAAAAGCACTAAATATGAGTTTAATTTAGTTTCTTTTATTAAATTCTAGGATAATATTTTATAAGAAAATTAAATTAAATTAATATAATTTATTAATATAGTCAATGTTAATGAAAATTATATGGGAATAGGGTATATTTATAATGATTAATATTTATTGAGTATTTTTAATGTTAAAAATGGGAAAATTAAAGCCGAAAAAACTAATAATTTGAATCCTGTTTCTATTGTTTTATAGGTTTAAAATAATAATGATTTCTGTTTTACTGTAGAAGGTAAAAATCGTTTGAGAATGTGGTTTAATTTATTTAAAATATCTAATAATAAATAATTATCTATTAAAGAATTTAATTGAATAATCTTGTAAATGAAAAAATTTCTAAAAATAAAATAAGAATTAATATATATATATATAATAAATGTATTTTTTTTTTTTCATTATGATTTTTTTTTTTTTTAATAATCTCTCAATTATTATTTTTATAATAAATAATTTCTATTTTTATCCAAATATTCAATAACACCTTAACTCATGATAATTTTTTAATTACTAAAATCAATATCGAAGAATTTTGCTATAACTTCAATAGTTATTTCTTAATAATCATTATAATATTTTTCAAATAATGATTTTTAAAACTTATTTGAGTATCTTTCAAAAGTTTAAAGATTCCAGGCAATAAATTCCCACATTCTGTCAATATCTTTAGTATCTACACAATAAAGAATATAATATTAATTCATATTTCTTAGTTCTTCGGGAATACATTTATGTATAATTTTATCATTACCAATTATCCTAATTTCCGATTTATATTCTTTATAATTTTTCCTATATATTTTTCCTTTAAAGTGTATTTAAATAGGATCTAAAGCCTTTTCATATACTATAAAAAGGTTTTTTTATGGTTTTATTTTAGCTATATTTTCTTTAGATTTAACAACAAAAATAATATCTCTTCCATATATTTATAATCTATGCATTAAAAATCTGGCTTTCTCGATATTTTCTTTTAGTCCTTCGGATATAATAAATAGTTCCTCAGGTGAAATTTCCCAAACAACAGGCTCTATATTATTTTTGGAAGATAGATTAATACAGTTTATTTAATATAACTATTCATATTCTTCAAATACTGTATCGTATGAATTCGGGTTTATTTTTTGGATTTTTCTTTCTATTAAATAAATTATTATTAAATATTTAATTTTAGAAAAGAATTTTGTTGATTTTAATAATATTTTCTTATGTTCAGGTTTCTTTTATTCTACTTTATCATTTATCATATAATCTTTTTTGTTTTCTTCTTTAAGTGCTTCCACATCGAGTGTATTTTCAGTTATTTGAACACAATTATTATTTATTTTAGTATTGTCTATTTATATATTTCCTTCTGTATTGACTTATATTCCTTATATTAATTACTCACTTATTATTGTCATTAAATTTTACGATTTTGAATTTATGGTGGGATATAATTTCTTTATTTAGTTTAAGTTTATATCTATTTAGACTAAATTTTCTTACTGAATTTCCTATTAGTTTTCTATATCATCATCTTATTGCCATGCCTAACGTTTTTTTGTTTTTCATGTTTTGGTCTTTCACCCTAATAAAGAACATTATAAACAATTTGATTTCCTTCCTTTTAACATTCTACGTAATGTATTACATTCGAAATATTTGTATTTTATACTATTTTTTATTCTACTTATTCTATTTATGCATTTTCATCTATTTATTAATCTTGTTCTTATATTTCCTTTTTATTTGAAAAAAAAAAAAAAAAAAAATATTAAATATATATGTATATTTACTTAAAGTAAAGCATTATGATTACTTTTAATAGTAATATATTAATTTTCTTTAAAGTAAATTTCCGACGCTCCTTTAATAGAAAGTTTTGTAAGAAGAAAATCAGCAAAAGGCTTAGACTAAGAATTAAGAAGTTAATTTTAATTATATAAATATTATCCTCTGATTTTATTTTTTATAGGTTTTTTAGTGTTTTCGTTATTTTTTTAAGAATTAGCTTATTCTAATTAAAGTAAGTGTTTTTAATTTTGACTAGATGTCTATTTATTTCTAATAGTTAATTATTTTTGGCGAATATTTTATAGTTATTAAGTATTATTGTTATTATTATAAGATTCAGTTTTTTACATTTGGACATTATATTTATTTTTTGATTCTCGTCTTTTTTCCATTTCTATTAAGTCGAATGTATATTTATTATCTTTCTGGTATATATTTACTATATACATTTTATTTTAAATCATTTTAAATGTTCTTTTAACTTTAGGACCTAATTTTTCGTTTTCTAAATGTTTTTATTTTTTCTTTAGATTTTAATTTATGTCCATTCTTATTTTTTATATTACCTATTTTTTTGTTTTGTTTAAATAATTATTATATTGTATTAATTTTACCTATATTATTTTTATATATAACAGACAGATTTTATTATTAGATAAAGATTTTGAACTTAATATTTACTTAAATTTAATTTTTTTTAATCTTTTTAAGAGATGTAATTTTTCTCTTCTTCTATAACAATTTTTTAATCAAAACATTGAATAAGTAGTTTTTGGCATGTAAATGATATAATCATCCTTTATTAGAGGTAATTTATAAACTATTTAAATATTTTTTAATAATATTTATTGTCATGTAATCCTTAAATATCTTCCCACTATTAGAATTTTATTTTTTGGTAAAATAAATATATATATAATTACTTGATTTTCAGTTAAAAATAAAGGAATATTATCATCTCTTGCGATTTTGTTTTTTTAATTTTTCTAAGCAAGATAGTTTTCTTTTGTTTTTAAATAATTAACTCTTATGACCTTTTTATTATTATTATTATTTTTATTTTTCGGAAAAAAAAAAAAAAACTTTTTTTTATAATTTATTTTATTTTCGAGGAAGTTTAGTAATAATAAGTTTAAGTTCATTTGATTATTTAAGTAAATAATATTGAATTTTAAAATAAAGTTAGTTAATAATAAATATTTCATTATAAATATGTATTTATTAGTTGCAATGTATATTAATAACTTATTCTAGTTTATTTAGAAGTAGTTTTTTCCTCCAATTTTTTTAGACTTTAATAATAAAATATTCATCCATAATACTTTCAGCTTTATTTTTAATATCTTCCACATTATAACTACACGACTAATTTTTTGCTTCATAATTAATTATTTCGGTTTATTCACAAATTTCCTCAAAAATAGGTTACCAAAATTTCTTTAATTATTAAATATTTTTATCTTCTACTATTTACTTTAAATTGTTTTTTCTAAACCATGTTAAATATAAGATATATCCTTTTCCTAATTATATTTACTATTCATTAAAAGGTTAAATATGAAATTAAAGAGAAGATATATTGAAATATATCTTATAAAATATATTTTATTTTGTTTATATTGTAAGAAGCTCAATATAAGTCTTTTATCCATCTATTAAATCAACTAAACTTTATATTCTCTAATTAGTATTTTAATTAAATTGTAGATTTTCTTAGTTTGTTTCTGATTATTAATTAAAATTATTATAAATTTTATTAAAAAAATAAATTTATTCCATCATATCTTAATTAATCTAAAATTAATTCCTTTTTTTTATTTTTTATAAAAATATAATAAAACATTTATATTTAAACCTAAAATGATTATCTAAATATATTCTCGTTCCATTCCTTTAAAGCTAAAAGACTTTAATTTATAATAATTTTTTTTAAAGTATTCTATTCATCATCTAAAATAATCCCAACAACAATAATGCTTTTATAATCATTATTTACATATATATCAAACGAGAATATAATTCCACCAATTTTATATATTTAGTCCTTTATTAATTTATTTTTTTTATGAAAAATTAATTATTTTTTATTTTATTTTTTATAAAAAATTAAATATTTTTATTTTTTTTAGAAAAAATTAATTATTTTATTTACTTTTTCAATTAAAATACCATCTTATTTAGGCTTTTCAATATGTTCCTATTCGACATTAGCATTATCTTCAAAAGCATTCATAAAATTAAGTATAACTTTCGAATAATCAGAAGAAGGTCGAGTCATTTAAGCTCGCATTTGTAAATCTTCATGTTCTTTAATTTTTTTGGTTTAAAATATATTTTTATTTCTAAAGCTAACAAATTTTCTGAATATTTTTTAAATTAATTTAGCATAATCATCCCCTTTTATATATATATATATATATATATATATATATATATATATATATATATATATATATATATATATATATATATATTAATTTAAATAAAATAAAAATACCTATTTTTGATTCAATAACATTTTCATTTTATTTAGTTTCGTATTGATAATAGTTTATTAAGGAATTTCTTTTGTTCATATATGATCTTAAAGTTCTTTAATTAAAAATTTTTCTAGTTTCTAAAGTTTAATCCTTAATACTATAATCTTCTCCTAATTTTTAATTAATTTCTATTTAAATATTTGGAGATTATTTCTTCTATTCTCGGACTTTGTATTTTTAATTAATCCTTTACTATTTTAAGACTTGTTTTTTAAAGTAATATTCTGCCGTAAAAATTAAGGTCACTCATATTAAAATATGAATATAATTTCTTTTTATTATATTGAATATATTATATCACATATATATAAAAAAAACCTATTCTTGAGAAATAATATCTTCAAAGGAATTTTTTTTTTGCATTTTAAAGCAAGTATTTTTTTGACTTTATTAAAATGTAAATTAAAAAAATAAACTTTATGTTAATAAATATCGAGTTTTTTAGAAATATTGGCAATATCTTTATCCATATTTTTACTTTTTTCTAACAATAGTTTGAATTCATATCTTTTTAGTTTTCCTCTTATCATAGCCTAAACTTTAGCTAGAGCTTTTTAATTGACAAGTAAATTATGGAAGTTTTTATCTTCTAGTTATCTATTTTTAAATTCTTATATAATATCCAAGGCATTACTAGAATATTTTATAAAAGAACTTTTTGGACGAATGTCAATTATTTCTTAAATAGTAGAACTATCAAAATCCTTCCATATTTAAAATATTATTTTATCAAAAGGCAAAACATTAAAATTTAATTTATTTGTAAGATTTTTTCCTGTTAATTATAATTTTTTTGTAGATATTACTTCCTAGATAAAAATTCGGATAATAGTGTGTGTATTATCAAGTAAAAATACAAATGTTTTTATAGTTTCTATTCGCTTATCTTTTTAAATTTTGTATTTTCGTCTTTCTATTACTCCACGAATACTTGATTAAATAAATAAAGCGGATTTAACAAAATCGTTTCCAAAAGATGCAAATTTTAATTTTTTAAACTATTTTATCTCGAAAATTAAGAAGTATCAGTTATACCTTCAATTATTATTCTATCATTCTATATAAAAAATTATAAAATATAATATTTAATAAATAAAATAATATATAAAATATATAAAAAATAAAAAATTAAATAAAATAAAAAAATTAAAATAAATTCATTGAAAAAAATATAAAAATATAAAAATATAAAAATATAAAAATATATATATATAAATATATATATATATATTTATATATTTATATATTTATATTTATTTTTAGATATTTAGATATTTTTTTATTTATTTTTATTTTTATACTTCTATAAAAATAGATGAAATTATTTGTTAACAAAAATACTTTAAATAAGATATTTTTTTAAAATTATTAAAAGGATATTTAATTTCTTTTAGTTTTTATTTGAATCTTAATAAGTTATTTAAATCTAATTGCTATTCACTTTTTTTTTCTTCATTTTGTAAATTATTGCATATTAAATATAAATTATTATAATTTTAATCTACTAATGCTATCACATTAAAATGTTTTTTTTTAGCATCTGCAAAATTTAAATTATTATCATCTAAATATCTTAACATTTATATTTATTTATATACTATTATTTTACTATTATTTTCTTTATTGAATTTAATTTTTCTTCTTATTAATATTCCTCTAAAATATTTTTAAATAGTTACACAAGCTTTATCTTTTTTTTTTTAATTTTCTTGTTAAATTAATAATTCTTCCTTTTTAATTTTATTTTCATTTAAATAAAAAGTAAAAAAAAATTAATTTTACTTTTTTCTTTAATTAAATTTATAATTATTTTCTATAATTATAATATTATTTTTATAATATTTTTTATTTATTTTAATCTATATATTATTTTTATGTATTTTTAGGTGTAAATGTAGCCATTTTTGGTGTATTCGAAACTAATAAAAAACTACTATTTGCTTTTTTTCTCATATTCTCTATTTCTCTTTTTGTGTCTTAACTGTTTTTGTTTTTGTGATATTAATTTTATTCCAATTAAATATATAAATTTTAATTATTAATATCATTTTAATTTAATGTTTTTTCTGTATTTAATTTAGAATAACCGTTTACAGCTTCATCATTTATTGGAATAATAATATTCTCTTATTATTAAATGTTGTTTTCAATGATTTCCTGTTAATTATTTATTTATTGTATTTAAACTTATTATTATTATTATTAATTATAGTGAATATTTTCTTAATACTACTATTTACTTTCTTAAAGCAATTGTGCATTTAATTTTCTTTCTTTTTTTAAAATTATGTTCTTAAACTTTAAAATAATATATTTTATTTTTTAAAAAAAAAATATAAAAATATTTTTAATTTATTTTACTAAAATCTAATTTTATCTTTTTTAACAATAATCAATATAATTTTTAACTAATTTTACTATCTTTACTTCAACTTCTATATTTTCATAAATCTTTTATATTATTATATAAAAAATATAATATAATAAATATATTACATTTTTTTATTATTAATCTTAAAGTTTAACTCCATAATTATTTATTGATTTTAAAAATTAAATTCTTTAAATTTTAGAATTTTCATCTTCACTATATAATAAATAAATATAAAATATTTTTATTCAAAAAAAAAATGAAACAATAAACAATATAAAATGTTTTTATTTAAAAAATATTAGAAATAAAATATTTTTATTTAAAAAGAAAGAAAAAAAAATATTTTGATTAAAAAAATATATTTATATAAAATAAAATATATATATATAATATAAATACATATAAATATATATATAATAATAAATATAATAATATATATATATATATATATATATATTTATATTACGAATTTTCAGAATCACTCCAATCTACAATTTGAGCAATTTATTAAATTTCATTGTTTTCATCAAAATTATTTATTTTTTAACTTTTAGAATTACTTTTTTCATTAATGCTAAAATCTTTGAAATTCTATTAATCTCTTAAACGACTATATTTTTGTTTTTATTCTTATTACTTTTTATATTTATTTTTAGAATCTGTGTCATTTTTATTTTATAAATTAAATGCACTGTTAGGTCTTTTTTATCTTAATTATTTAAAATAAAAAAAAATTATTTATAAAAATTTATATATATTACTATAATTTAGCTTTATTTTTTATAGTATATTTATTAAAAATAGATTCATTATTAAAGAAATTATTTTGTTTTGTTAATAGTTAAGTTTTATTTAAATTTTTATTTTTTAGTATACTTTATTCTAAATCTTAATAAGAATTATAAATTTATTATTTTTTTCCTCTAAAATGTTTTTTTAAAGCATTTTCATATGAATTTTTGAATTTCTTATATAATTTTTCATCTTAAGAAAGTCCATATTCTTCTAATAAACTAAAACTTTATTTATAAAAATCAATACATTTTTCAAAATTTCCTAAATATTCTTCTTCACAACCTAAATTATGATAACTAATACCTGCATATCTAACTTTTTATTAAAAATCTTCTTTTTTAATCTAATCTTCTCCTAATCCGAGTATTTCCAAAAGTTCTCTCTAACATTCAATGATAGCTTATTTCGCATATTCAGCAGCTTTTTAATGATTTGCAATTTAAGAATAAACCGCTGTTATATTTAAATAAGTAATTCCTGTGTACATAATATTTGGAAATTATAATATTAATTCTAAGGCTTCTTCTAAAACTTTTTTTGCTTTTTTTAAATTCCCAGTTCTTCTATATACACATCCTATATTATTTAATGCTAATATTCTTTTTTCTGGTATCTTTTATTATATTTAATTAATATATATATTATATTTTTTGTAAAAAAAAAAAAAAAAAAAACGAATAAATAAGTTATTTTTTTTTATTTAACTTTTTCAATATATAATTTAGGGTCAGTCATTTTTATTGAAAAAACTAAAATTTATTAAGCATTTTCGAACTAAAATTCTGAAAGTAATTTCATAGAATGATCACATAGAAATTATAATATATTATTATATATTTATATAAATTCTTATGAATTTTTTTTATATTAATGCTCGATTTTTAAAATTACTTTATATTTTATTTGTTATTTTTTTTTTTTTTAAAAAAAAAATTATATTTATTTATATAGTATTTATTTTTTATATATTACAGCTTTCTATTGAATCTAATCCTTATAATATTTAACCATTTAAAATTTATTAAATAGATTCCTCTTTTAATTTTTAAATTTATTCTATAGTTGTTATTGTGTGATCATTTTCATAACTTTTTAAATTTAATTTGGGTGTTTTAGTTTAAAAAAAGTTTTATTTAGTTAATTAGTGAGTGCTTTTATTTTTATAAGGCGTGCTTGGTTTTAATTAAAGCAATCTTTTTTATTTATTTGAAACTAAATTATTATCATTTATTAGATAATTATTCATTTATTAATCTATTTTTTTTTTTTTTTTTTTAATAATGTTTATTTATTTAATTTTATTATTATTTTTTTTTATTTTTTTTTTAAACTAAAAAAATTATTTATAAAGATAATTTTCATTAATAAATATAATTAATATTATTAAATAAAACAAAACAAAAAATGGAATAAAATAATTCAAATTAAGTATATAATTTTATTTAATCAGAATATACCGATATATGTTCATATCCAGTAAAAAAATAAAAATTATATTTATTTAATTGATTAAAATAAATAATATTAAATATTAAAAAAAAATATAAGAATGTTGAGTTTCCGAAAATAGTATATAATATACCTTAAAATGAAAAGAATTTAGCAATTAAAGCAATTATTTTAAGAAAAAAAAGATAAAGAGAATATGATAGAATATTATTTAATAATGATATTAAAATAAGATCAAAAGAAGAAGAAAAAGAACTTTAAAAAGATCGAAAAGGATTTATTAATTACTTATCTTTTAAATATAAAAATTAATTTCCACCAGAATTACTTGATAAATCAAAAAAAATAAAAGCTTAATTAGTTAAAGAATATTCTTATTTAGATGTTTTTCGATTAATTGAAGAAAAATATTGTATTTTCTTTAAAAAATTATAATTAAATTATAATTTAAAAAATAGCAAAAAAAGCAACAAAAAAATAGCAAAAAATGGAATAGAAAAAAAATGAAAATACAGAAGAGAAAAAAAAAAAGAAAACAAAAAAAGATAAAGAAAAAGAAAAAGAAGAAGAAGAAAAAGAAAATAAAAAATAAAAATTAGAAGAAGTTATTATTTATATATTATATATATATTTATATAATATATATAAATATATATATATATATTTAGTCTATTTAAGATTTGTATGATATTTAAGAAAATAATTAAATTGAAGATTTTGAAGAAGATGGTAGTGGTGGTTATGAAGATGATTGAAACTTTTATATAATAACTATATTAATAATTTTTTTTTTTTTAATTAATCTATTTATTTTTATAGTCATATCATTATATTTAAGCAATAATAATATTTTAATATTTTTTTTAAAAAAAAAATAAAAATTTAAAAATAAAAAATTAATAATAATATTATATTTAAAAAAAATGATTAAATAATAAAATATAAAAGGAACATTAAATTTTTAAAACAAAATTATTAAAACTTTTTAAGAAGAATAAAACTAATTTAATATTGAAGATGCTAAAGTATACATTAATTTATTTAGTTTTTCTATTTATATTAATTTTTTTTTTTAAAAAAAAAGTCATTAGCTTATTAAGAATAAGTAAAATCATATATTCGCTAATAAGAAAAAGTCGATAAAAAATTGAAATTTCAATAAGAAATTTAACAAAGAGCTTAAAAAATAGCAAAATAAAATAAATAAAAATAGCTTTAAGAAGAAAAAAATAAAGTTATTTATGATATTTCTAAAATAAAAAAAAAAAAAAAAATTATTAAATAAAAAAAATTTAGTAAGAATAAAAGTAAAAGTTAATTTAAAAAAATAAAAAATAGTACATTATATACAAACATTAAAGATGAATCATTAAGCAATATAAATTTTGATAATAGTATTATTATTTTCTCTCTCTTTTTTTATAAAAAAAGGATATATATTAATATAAATTATAAAAAGATGTCCCTAAAGATGAAATATCAGTTTCATATCCAACTCTTAAGAAATAATAATAAAAAAAAACTAATACACAAGTTATTTTTCCTTAAATAAATAATTCTAATGATTGTAGTTAATCAGAAGATGAAATAGATTATGAAATTTGTAATTTTATAGATGCGGATGAAGCAATAAATAAATATTCTAATATACGTCAACATTTATATGAAATTACTATGAAAATAAATGGTATATGATAATACTTATATATTATATATTAGTATATATTTTTATTTTAAATAAATAAATAAAAATTAATTTTTTTATATAAATAATTAAAATAATATTAATTTTTTTTTAATATTATTTATTAATATGTAAATAAAAAATAATAGTTAATAATATTATATTTATCTACTTTTTTTTTTCTAATGTTTTAGTTTTCCTTCAATAAGTTTTTCTAATTTAACTACATCTTCCGCAAATTTGTTAATACCTTCAGATAATTTTTCAACAGCCATTGGATCAGCTTTTTTAAAAAAGTAATATTTATATATATATATATTTTAGAATATAACAAAAAAATACTATTATGTAACCAACGAAAAGCTTTTTCATCCATTTAAATTTTTTAAATTTCGTCTAATTAAGCTTTTTCTTTACTTAATTTGCATTCAATATTCTTTTCTTTCATTTCTTTTAATTCCTCAAGTAATTTTGGAGAAATAGTTAATTTATCACATCCAGCTAAATTAATGATTTCACTAGTGTTTCTAAAAGAAGCCCCCTTTTTTGTTATTTAAAAAAAAACAAAAAACATAAATTTTTACCATAACAATAGTCTTATAATCAAATTTTTTGTAGTAATTGTATATTTTCTATACACTAATAACTCCCGGATCTCTTTCATCACTAAAGTTTTAGTCAGGATTTTTACTTCTATGCCAATCTAAGATTCTTCCAACAAAAGGAGATATCAAAGCGACTTAAGCTTCAGCACAAGCGACAGCTTAAGCAAAAGAAAAAAGTAAAGTCAAATTGCATTTAATTTTATCTTTTCTTAAGGCTTCTGCAGCTTTAATACCTTCCCAAGTGGAGGCAATTTTAATTAAAATCCTATCTTTTGAAATTCCGAATTCTTCATACAATTTAATGATATTTTTAGCCTTTTGAAAAGAAAAATATTTTTTTTTTTTAAAAAAAAAAAAAATATACAAATAGACACAAATATTATAAAAACATAATATATATATACCCTATTAATATTTCCTTGTTTGTCAAAAGAAAGCCTTGCATCAACTTCTGTAGAAACAACTCCAGGAACTAATTTAAGAATTTCCTTTCCAAAATTAACACAAACAACATCAGCGACAAAAGATAAAAACTAGCCTTGTTTTTCAACTGAAAGTTTTCCGAAATCAAATTCTTCGGCTTATTCGTTTCCTTTCGTTTCTTCTTTTTTTTTTCCTTTTCTTATAGAACTACGAGCTTAGGCGGGAGCAAAAAATCTATTATAGTTTTATTTACTCCAGTTTATGGCGTCGTCTATTAATTTCTCGTATTCAGGCTTGTTTGCAGCTTAGAGAATTAAAGAAGGGTTTGTTGTGGCATCTTCAGGGCTGTATTAAGCTATTTCTTTAAAGTCTCCTGTATCAGCAACTACTGTGGTGTACTTTTTTTTTATTTTTTTTCATAATATATGATTTATTTTTAGTTTTTTACTTGTTTTAATTAGACTAAAGCGTCAGAGTCATTCAGTTTCATCTTTTTACAAGGAGATTATCCATTTAGTTTTTATGGAGTATTTTATTTAGACATTTTTTTTTTATTAAGTCTTTTTAATTTATTTAATTTTATTTATATAATTATTTTTTTAATTTCAAATATAAAATTTTATATTAAAAAAATAAAGGAAAATGAAGGTGTTTTCTTTTTGTTTTTTAATTATTATAGCGATTTAGTTTATATTAATATAATTATTTTGTTATTAGAAGGTTTGTTAAAAATTATTTTAGTATTTATTCTTCGTAATAATATAAATGTATGATATTTATATATACGACTTTTGGATATAATGAAATAATATAAAATAATTAATATTATAGTTTGTATAATATTTATCATTTAATAAAAGAATTGATCTTGTAATAATATTAATAAATTGAAATTTTAATTAAGATTTATTTTTAAATTATAATTTTTTTTAATAAGATATGTTTTTCATTATATAAAAATTAATAAAAGTGTTAAAATCAATAAAATTTAAAATTTTTGAATTTAAATATTTTTAAATAAATTGACCTATTCAAAGTTTTTTATTATAAAACATAATATAATAAATATATATATATATATATTGAATTATTTTATTTTCTTTCATTAAATAAAATAATATATGTAAAAAAAAATATATATATATATATAATTAGAATAATTTTTTTTTTAAGACATTACAATAAGAAAAAATAAATATTTAAAATAATTTTCAAATATGTTAAATTAATTTTATATAATATATCATTAAATCTGTTCTAAAAGAATTATAATATTTTTAACTTAATTCTAATTTAATTAATTAAGGAAAATTATATTATATTTTTTTGTAATAAATAAAAAAATTATATTTATAAAAATAAAATTATACTTTAAAATTAGATGTATATGTATCTACCATATTTTCAATCATATTTTAGCTTTTTATAAAATTTATCATTTATTTTTATTATTTAAATTCATATAAGCTTTCGTATATCATATTTATAATAGTTTATTTACTATTTTATATTCTATAATTATTCTTTAACTAATTTTTAATATATTAAAATAAAAACTTTTTATAATTTATTTTAATTCTTTGTTTTACCTCCATTTTATCAATTACACTAAATATTTGAATTAATATTTTACAAAATAACTTAAATCCTTCATTATGTTAGCCATCTGAAATTGCTTGAAATATACTTTAAATAATATCTCCTATGTAGTTTTAATAGAAAGATTATATTACGTTATTATTTGAACTATTTACAGACTTTTATTATATAAAAATAATTATAAAAAATAAAAATTATTAAACTTTTATTATATTTAGCATAGTTTCTAAAGCAAGTAAATATATACTTTTTTCATTTTCAATTATTCTTGAAGTAAGTATTAAACAAATCATATTATTTTCTAAAAATTACTAGACAAAATCTTTTATAAAATTTTAAATTAAAAAAATAAAAAAATAAAAAATATCAACAATATTACATTAAGAATGAAGTTAAGACATTTATAGTAAAAACTAATATATATTCAAATAAAATTCATTGTACAAATTAGGAAATTTAACTAAATTAGATGCACTAATTAAGAACATTTAAAAAATTTGTATTGTTTGATTACTATTTAGATGTTTAATTATATTCTAAAAAAGCAAAAATGTTGATTAATCTTTTATCTAGTCGTTTAAGTTTTGATGTTAACTAATCATTTAAATTGCTATTGAAAGTATTTATTCGTTACATTAATCTATTCCATCTATTAGGTTTGCAATTATTTACACTAAAAGCTCTTTTAAATAAAAAGTAAAGTTATTAGAGATATTAATTTTATTTGTTTCAATATAATTTAAATTTTCAGCTTCTATATATTATTTCATTTTAAGAAAAATATTTAAATCACCTTATTATATTAAAAATAATAATATAATATAATTAGGTTTTTTAAATATTATAATAATATATATATATATATATATATATAAATAATAATATATTTATTATTATCTTACCTATTTAATTTAAGAACTCTTCGGGCATATACTTTGATGATAGTTAGAAAATATCTAATATTGTTCTGATTTATATGTATGTTTATTTCTCTATAATTTAGTTAAAATTTTATGAAAATTGTTTAAAGATATCTTTAAATTATTAAAATAATGAAGTAAAAAATTATATTTTTTATTCTTAGTTTTTAATATTATTCATAACTATAAAAAGACTTTCAAAAAATAATAATTTTTAAGGATAACTCATATTTTTAATTATACTCGATTAGTTTAAAATTAAATAATTTAAAAATATTTCTCCATCTTTTTTCTAGGAATATAGAAATTAATAATAAATAGAACAAAAAATTTTAAAATATTCAATAGAGGCATTCTAATATAAAAATTAAAAAAAGTATATATACAAAATAAGATTTTTTTTTTTTTGTATTTTTGGTTTTTTGACTATATAGAGTAATATTTTTACCTTAATTGCCTCTATTTCATCGTTAAAGAAATAAATTAGTTTTTTAAATATTATTTCTAACATATTCCAATTTGAATTTAAGTATTTTGAAAGTTTAGAACAACAAAAAAGTAGACTATTTATTATTAAAGCCTTAGACTATTTATTTTTTCTAAGTTCAATTAAATTTAGGTAACTCTATATTAAAGAATTATATATATATATATATATATATATATATTATATATATTATATTTATATATATATATTTATTTTTAATCATTTGTTAAATTACTTTTAGTATTTACAAACTAAAATTCCTTAAATTTACTTCGTCATTGATTAATTCTCCTAAAGTACCTAAAACATATCCAAAAGATTAAATATTTTATGTATTCCATTCTGAACCATCAATCTTAAAATAAAAAATATTTTATTAACTATTTTATGTTTACCATTTTTTCGAATTTACTTATAATAATTTAATGAATATTATCATAATTTATTTCCAAGAGCAATAAAGTTAATTTCTTTTGATTTTCAAAAAGCGAAAAATCTTCATTTTATTCTTTTTAGAATATAATAGATCCATTGTTTGAAATATCAATTAAAATATTATATTATATAGGCCTTTAGAATTTGGAAAAAAGTTTATAAGTTAACTCTTCAAGTATATTTTATAAATCAGCCATTATGTCTTCATCATTTTTTAAATTAGTTATTATATTAATCCAAAATTCAATATTATCTGTTTACATTTAATCTAGAAAAGTGAATTTTAAAATATAAGAGAGACCAAATAAAAAGATATTTTTAAAATAATTATCTTATTAATAAATTAAATCTTTGAAAATATTTTTAGAAAAAAGCTTATTGAAATAATTTACATAAAACAAATTTATGCAATTACACATTTTTAAAAAGTTTTATTCATGATCTTTCATATTTTCACAAATAATTTAATATTAGGCTAATATATCCATATTTTGGGGAATATAATATTTTATTATTTCGTTTATTTTTAATATAAAATCAAGTTTTTTTATATTTGTATCTACTAATATATATTTTTCTAAACATAAAATACACTAATCTCTTAAAAAACTTTAATCACTAAAACCTAATATCTTTTCGGCATATTCACGTGTGAAGATTTAATCTTCTTATTTTAAATATAAATATAATACATCTAAACTTATTTATATTAATTCGTCCTTTATTTATTATGAAGATTCTATAAATCTATCTATTACAAAAAATGTTAAAGCAAAAATACATTTATCGATTTCATTTATTTATGATTAAATTTGAGTTTTTTTTTTTTCGTTTATTATATTTATCGTTATGTAATTCTTACTTCTTTTTTTTTTTTTTTTTTCTTTTTTTAAAATAAAAAAAGCTATTTTTTACGCTAAAAATTTAAATATTAACATACAAGCGTAACATAAATTTTAATTTTCAGTTGCTTATTTTATTAGTCTTTATAATATAGCCAATAAATAATCTCCTTGTTTTATTATTTCGCATATTATTTAACAAAAAGAGATTAAAATCGTATTTTCTTCTTCAGTAAAATCGTCTGTTTTTTATATTGTGAAATTTTCTATTTCTTATAGAATTAAATCTTTTATTTTTTATATTTCTTCATTTGTTAATAAAAACCATTTTATCTGTAAGAAAATAGATGAATTTATTTATATATATATATATTTTTTTTTAAATAAAAATACTTTAACTTCATTTTTTAAAATTTATAAACTTAAAATTTTTGTTAAATTGCTTTTGGAATAAATTAATACTTTTTATATGTTTAAAGAAAACTTACAAGAATTTAATTCTTCCCACATTTTTACTATTTAAAAATCCTTATTTTTAAAAAATAATTAATGAAATATTTTATATAAAAATACTTGATTATATTATAAAGTTAATTAATCTAATAAATCTATTGTGTATTCATTTATAGAATTTCTCTCGAAATTTTAATATATTTCGTTCATTTAATTTTGAATTAAAGAAGACATTTGTTTAAAACTTTAGTAATATTTATTTAAAATACTAAAAATATAAAGAATATTTAAGATTTTAATAATTATAATAATAAAAAAAACAAATGAAATTGTTTATTAGATTTTAAATGAATATCTTATTTTTTTAATATATTAAAAGATTTTTTATAAATTTATATATAATAAAAATAAATATATTTATATAAAACATGATTTCATTTTATTATGAATAAATATAAAGAGTATATATTATTATTAATTTAATATATAAATTAAATTAAATATATAAAAAATAAATATGTATTTAGTTTTTTAATTAATATTAGTATAATTCTTTTGTTCAGTTGGATATTCAATACCCATTAATAAAAATAATATTTTAAATTTTAAAAGTTATTTAGATTTTGATGATTTTAGATTATAAAATAAGTCTTTCTTTATTCTTTTTTATGTTTCAGCTTGTCATTCATGTAAACAACTAATAGATTATTATGAATAAATATCTAATTTGAATGAATTAAAATATTAGTAATTTACAAAATATGATGCTATGAATAATTTTAAAGCATTAAAATAAAAACATAATATA